CATTTGCCCAGTTTCTCCCTCATGAATGAAAATACAGTACTGCTAAGTGCTAATGCAACAGTCTTTATGTTACCAGCTATAGGGAACGTACGTAACGTAACTGATCAATAACAATAGCATTGTGTTTATTATCTACCCGTGTGCGGTGCGGTCTGTTGCCGTATGTGTACGTACGCTCCTTTTCGATTTTGTTTACAGCATGTGCCTTGGAAGTTGTTTTAAATAACAGACTAATACACTACAAAAAAGAGGAGGCTTAGGGACGACAAAAGTCATCCCCGGAAATAGGAAAAATCGTCCTTATAGTTGTTGGAGACGTTCCCTATACTCTTGTCCTCTATTCTTTTGAGGACGACAAAAATCTAGGTCGTCCCCATTACTAGGGACAATAAGATGTCCCCCACAATCGATTTCATTGTTATGTAGGGCTTGTCTGGGGATAATTTATCGTCCCCTTTTCTTTGTATAGGGTTGACATGTCGTTCCTATATGTATCAAACTGGAGTCCAAAAAACGTCCCTGAAAGGTGCATTCAAGGACTACGAGTTGTCTCTTATACTATATTTGTAGAGACGACAAGTTGTCACCTGTGACTTTTAGGAACAGACAATTGTCCTTTAACTTATGTATTGGGGGACGAGGAGTTGTCATTTATGCACCTTCTGAAAACCACTTAATGTTAAATTCGTATAAATAATTTGTTGTCCCTTAGTATGTGTCTTTGGGGACAACTAATTGTCATATGGATCACTTGTGAGGACGATCAATTGTCCTTTAACTAGTATTTTCAAAGACGTCTAATTTTCACGTATTTAACTGGCAGAGACGACTAATCATCCCCAAATCAATGTCTTCAAGAGCGTCAATTTGTCACCTATTTAACAGGTAGGGACAACCAATCGTCCCCAAAGCAGTGTCTTTAGTGTCATCGGACCATAGCTGCAAAACAATTTAGTAGCATAGTTAGAACCTGTAATGAAATCTTATAATAGATGATTTAATATATATGTATGTATGTATATATATGTTGCATTTAGAGCCACACCTATATATTTGCCTCCCAGAAAGAAAAAAAAATTCAATGAATAAGTGCAAAACAAAATTAATAAAGAAATTAAAATGAACACAACTAAAGAAACAAAAACGAGGAGTTGAGAAAGAGATTAGGATTTAGGACATCTAGATTTGGTTTGCAATTCCGTGTACCCTAGCTTTAATCAATTGAAACAAGGGTCATGGCCCGGAAAAGAAAAGCGGCGGCGCAGCATAGAAAGAGAAGCAAAGACGCTGCTAAAAAACAGAGGACCTAAGAGCAATATACACAGACGCAACTGCACTACCAATGACTCTCAAGATCGAGCAGGGAAACAAATCGCCTAAAAAACGTGAACTGAAACCAACCTGTCATCGGCAAAGAAGAATCAATTGAAGAGGAAAGCAGACATGATGGAAGGCAGTTCTTTAATATATCGAGTCCTTAAGGTAGGATTTTCGCTGCCAAAGCCAAATATGGGGCAAAAAAATCGAAGATAAGAGGGTAATAGAGATGTAATCGGGCAAAAACTAGAGATATAACGGAAAATATATTAAAACGATTTATGTTTATTTTGAGGAAAGAAAACCAAATAAAAAAAACTATTTTTCCGCCAAAGCCAAATACACGGCTGCCAATGCCATTACCGGGAAAATGGAACGTGTTTGCCTGTTTGGAGCTTACTGAAAGTTCAAAATTTAGGCTGAAAAGGGACGCCAATTCTTTTTGGCTAAAAGGCCCGCCACTCCAAGGAGGGGTGTTCAAACGGATTGGTTACCGTGGTAACCATATATATATATATTTTTGATAATCAGACCTGTAATTTATTGATGCCTCATGGGCTCAGAATCAAGAAAGGGTAACAAGGATAAAGGTGGTCGGGCTTCCCATAGTTCTTGGGCATCCCAATTACAAGTTGAGTGGGCTAATAGGTGGGCCGTCCCATTGCACTCCCTTCTTGCAAAGTTCCATTGGACCGAGCCCAGTCTCCTTGCAGCTGTCTGTAGATCTGCGATCATAGCTTCAGCTTCCAACCGCGACACTTCCTTCTGCTTCAAAGCGAGAAATGCGCTTTGGCAATCGGTTTCAACAATGGCTGCTTGGTATTCAAACCAAAATCAATCGCGCTTAACTCGGCCAGCTCCGGGGACCATTGGATACATTCCATGCATACCGCCGCCATCAAGAAGTTGTCGTTTGCATCCCGAGCCACCACACCGAGACCAGTTCCTTCGTCTTTGAAAACCGCAGCGTCCACATTCACCTTGATCCACCCCTCCGGTGGCGATTCCCAGGTATGTCTTTCCCTCTCCCTAGACTCTTGCTCCTTGGTATGAAGGTCCGTGAATTCTTCCCAGTAGTTTAGGGCTTTCCCGATGATTTCCCCTTCCTGCGCCTTCCTATTGTTGAACAAATGATTGTTCCGTTCATTCCAAATTGACCATAGGATTACAATGACCTGGCCTAGGGTATCATCATCCACCCTCTCCATGACCTCGTAGAGCCAACCCCCAGTAGACATGTCAGGTTCGAGTTCAAAGAGGTGTCTGAAGCCTGTTGGCCGCCAAATCCTGGCTGCCCATTGGCATTCCTTAAAGATGTGGTTATGGGTTTCCTCTAGGTTGCAAAATGGGCATTCAATTGGTGCATCCTTCTTCCTCTTCTCGATATTCTTCCCTATAGGGAGAATGTTATGGATTAGCCTCCATAGGAAGATCTTGAATTTGGGTGGGATCACCAGCTTCCACATTTGCTTCCAGTTCATCGAATCATAAACTTCAATTTCTTGGTTCACAGCTGCTACCTCCTCGTTCTCTTCTGCTACTGCCTCTATTTCTTCTGTATCGAATGGTTTGCTCGCTAGCTCATTATAGAAAAGTTTGTAGGCCGATTTTACAGAGTATTTCCCATTCTTTTCAAGAGCCCAAACCTCTGTATCTGGGGTCTGGTGTCTTGGCAAAGGAATCCCTTCAATCCTTACCTTATATGAATGGTTGAAGTGTTGTTGGAGAAGGTCCCTATTCCATCGTCTGAGATCATGGTCAATGAGATCAGTGACTCTTTCCATATCACCATTCATCATTCTCGCAGTGGTGATTTTGAAACCATTGTCTTCAGCACCTGCCACCCATCTATCTTCCCAGATGTTTATCTGAGTTCCGTCCCCCACTCGCCATCTCATTCCCTTCTTAACTAGGTCTTGGGCTGCCAAGATACTCCTCCAGGTAAAGCTTGGATTGGTACCAATTTGGGCGTGTAGGATATCTCGATTTGGGTAGTATTTCGCCTTCAGCACCCTTGCTGCTAAGGAATCTGGATTGAGTAGGAGGTTCCAGATTTGTTTCCCTAGTAAAGCAACATTAAAAGCTCTCAAGTCCTTGAACCCCATGCCACCTTCAGCTTTAGGTTTGTAGACATCCTTCCATGCTTTCCATGGAATTATTTTCTCTTCTTTCTGCTGCCCCCACCAAAATCTAGATATGGATCTTCTTAACTCATTTATTATGCTTTGGGGAATCAGAAAGACAGACATGGTATAAGTGGCTTGACCTTGAGCCACTGCTTTTATAAGCACCTCTTTAGCTATAATTGATAAGGAGGAGGCTGCAATTGATAGGGAATGCATTGGATAAGGACATGCATGTGCATAAGTCGTGTCCACCTGCCAAAACGGAGGAGTTGATCTCTTGGAAGCCGCCTCCTCCCGAGTGGGTTTGCCTCAACTCTGACGGCTCTGTTCTCCCTGAGTCATGTCTTGCCGCTGCGGGAGGCCTGATTCGTGATCATTTAGGGCGCTGTCTTTCAGCGTTCACTTTGAACCTAGGTGCTTGTACGATTACCCAGGCTGAGTTGAGGGGTGCTGTGGAAGGTCTCCAGGTTGCGTGGGACAAGGGATATAGACGAGTTCGTGTCCAGCTCGATTCTCAGTGTGCGGTTCAGCTGATTAGATATGCAAATACAGGGAACCATCACTGTGCTGCCATTCTTGATCGGTTCCGAGAGCTGCTTTCACGACTTTGGGATGTCATCATTGAGAATGTGTATAGAGAGGGTAATAGATGTGCTGACTTTCTGGCTAGTAGGGGACATGTTGTTCCTTTAGGGTTTCATGAGGTTGCGAGCGCCGATCGGATGCTCTTATATTGGATTATGTATGACTGGCAGGGGATTTCCGAACCCCGTTTGGTTTTGAATGAAGGTTAGGGTGCTTTTGCATCCATTATAAAAAAAATATCATATGGTATAGACAGATAATAAATGTCTCAATTTTTTTGTTCCAAAAATCTATTAAAGTGGATACTATTTCGAAGAACACAATTAATCTTAGGCAAAATACACTTGGATAGCCATTACTTTCACGTTTGTGACAAATATAGCCATAACTATTCGAAAACCAAAAATAACCAATTTCGTCCATTTTGTTAACGGCATCAGTTGACGGTATGACTGTACAAACGGAAGATGCTGATCTGACGATTTATTGTCCTTGCTAACTGACGTCGATTAACAAAAAAAAAAATTGAAATAAAAAAAAACAAAAAAAATATTTTCCCTTGAATTGGGATTTCTTCCACCGCCTCTTATTCCCTCCTAATTTTCCTCTGATGCTTCCAATCTCCTTCTCTTTCGCTGCCGCTTCCTCTCACCGGCCTCACCCTCTCTCCGCTCTCTCCGACCCCTAGCCATCGTCCCCTACTTCCCTACCTTCAACGAAAAAGAATAGAAGAATACAGATGTAGGGATATGGCCCAACGACACCGACGCGGCAGCCATCGAACCCTTCTGAATGAATTTAGATGTGCCATCGATTCCGAATCGGAAAACTCAAGCCAACAGCCTCGGTGCATCTCAACCCTCGACTCTATTACAGGCATGAAACAAGAAGCTCTGTCGCTGGGCGACCAGCTTCTTCTCTGCTGTGTGGGGAGCTGGGGGTATAAAGGGTGGAGGATTGACTGTGGCTGAGATGGAGTTTGGAGGCGAAGAATCTCTGGCCGTGACGATGACGAAGCAAAGGGAGGAAGGGGAAGGGTCTCGCAGAGTTGGCAATGAATCGAGTAGATTCGTCAGTCAATCGATTCCGCTTCCTGTTTCCCAGATAGCCGTCGAGCTTGAATCGAGAAGAAGCAAGTGGGCAGAAGGTGATGCCGCCATTATTGGTGGTGGTTAGGGTTCTTTTGATTGGGGAAAGGGTTGTTGTAGGAGAGATGGTTGGGTGAAAAGAGAGATGAGAGCGGGAGATGGGGAGACGAAGTGGTCGTAGAAGTTGCCAGTCGCCCTCGGTGAGGCGGATCCCGAAGGATGCGGATGGCGGGGTGGTGAAGATGATGCTACTGGTTGGGGGAGGTGGGCTGTGGTGTGGTAATTTTGGAGGGTGAATTGGATGGGAAGCAGCAGCTAATTGAAGAGGGTGCAACAGAGAATTAGTGGGAGATGTGGGGAAATGGAATCGGCAGGAAAGGCGGAATTTTTTTTTCAAAATAAAATATTTTATTCATTCAAAATTACGTGGCAATGATATGCTACTGGTTACTGACGTGTGCGAAGATTTGGCATCCTAGTCAGCCTAACGTTAACCTAACTGACAGAGTTTCTAACACCGTTAAAGTTTCTAACGGATTTGGCTAGATTTGTCACACTACCCTCAATTTTTTAGGCTATTTTTGGTTTTCGAATAGTTATGGCTATATTTGTCACAAACGTGAAAGTTATGGCTATGCAAGTGTATTTTGCCTTAATCTTATTAATCTGTGCAAAAAATGTAAATTCTGACTTAAATGAGAGAGAAATCATCTGTTAAAAAATAAAAGGGAAAATGTTAGAGCCCTTCCATAAGTGGCAGGAGGCATTGATGAGGCGGTTGATGGTAGAATTATGCAGGATTGCTCACGACAAGGTTACTGACCAGATCCGTACTAGAGATGAAGTGATGATTTAGCTCAATTTTTCTCGAATAAGACTTCAATTTTCTCGAATAATTCGAGAAGACTTCAATTTTTCTCGAATTAGTCAGTGTGCGTAGGGGGTGTTATAATTTTATAGTTATGGAAGATTGCTCATCACAAGGTTACTAACTAGATCCATACTTGAAATTAAGTGATCATTTAGCTCACTATTATAATCTTAGAAGACCTTAATATTGAAAATGAATCTCATTTTGTGGCGTAAGACTTTTTGTGTTGGGTGTAGTAAGAAAAAAGGGTTGACCTAGAGTTTCTTATCAGCTCTTTTTGTGAAAATGGAGAGCGGCTATTGAGCATATATTAGATTGGGTTGGTAGTCGAACATAAATTGATCTAAATTCGATCTTTCCCATTATTTTCTTTATTTTTTAGAGAAATTATAGAGTCGAAATAATTAAAATTTTCCACTAGAAAATAGAATGGAATGAAATGATGTTTAATTTTGTCTGATTCAGTTCTAATAATTATTGAACATCTTTTTTGGATGCGATTGTTGCTGATTACCAATCGAATAATTAATATTTAACCGGAATATTGATATGTTACAAATAGGAGTGAACAAAATAACCTGCAAACCGACCCATTCGTCCAACCCGATCCAACTCATCTGAGAGCATTACTAGTGACTCCTCAAACGACTTTGGTCCCTATAAAAAGCCAACGACGTGCAACCCAGTACACCTTAACGGCAAACCAAAACAACAAATATTATACAGCCAACTAATTAATCATGGAGGAGTATAGCTACGCATCTTCTGCTCGCAAAGTAGCTGTTTGGATAGCTCTCATTGCGCTGTTAGGCTATGCCTGCGCCGGCGCCAGTGCTCAAGTGCATTGCGACAGTTCATTGCCCATCGACACCGTGCCTTGCCATAATATCTATGGTTACTGCGTGACCGAAGTTATCACTGCACTGCGGGATGTAACGCCCAACCAAGACGGCTTCCGTTACACGTCCATATACCCGCAGGGCACCTTCGGTGGCGTTACAGGTTTCGCCAGTTGTTCCTCGACGACCGACGTCGAACACTGCCAACCGTGTCTCGTTGGTGCCATGGACGCGCTGGACGACTGCAAATCTTACGCCTCTGGCTCCTTCATCGGCGACGTCTGTACTATGTCATTTGCCCAGTTTCTCCCTCATGAATGAAAATACAGTACTGCTAAGTGCTAATGCAAGTATGCAACAGTATTTACGTTACCAGCTATAGGGAACGTACGTAACGTGACTGATCAATAACAATAGCATTGTGTTTATTATCTACCCGTGTGCGGTGCGGTCTGTTGCCGTATGTGTACGTACGCTCCTTTTCGATTTTGTTTACTGCATGTGCCTTGGAAGTTGTTTTAAATAACAGACTAATATCACTAAAAAAAAAGGAGGTTTAGAGACTACAAAAGTCGTACTCGAAAATAGGAAAAATCGTCCTTATAGTTGTTGGGGACGTTCTCTATACTCTTGTCCTCTATTCTTTTGAGGACGACAAAAATCTTGGTCGTCCCAATTACTAGGGACGACAGTCATCCTCGATATTAGCAAGTCGACATCTCGTTTCTTTTTCATCAAAGACAACATGTCATCCCTATAGCTAAAACTTTACGGACAATAAGATGTCCCCCACAATCGATTTCATTGTTATGCAGGGCTTGTCTGGGGATAATTTATCGTCCCCTTTTCTTTGTATAGGGTTGACATGTCGTTCCTATATGTATCAAACTGGAGTCCAAAAAACGTCCCTGAAAGGTGTATTCAAGGACTACGAGTTGTCTCTTATACTATATTTTTAGAGACGACAAGTTGTCACCTGCGACTTTTAGGAACAGACAATTGTCCTTTAACTTATGTATTGGGGGACGAGGAGTTGATTTATGCACCTTCTGAAAACCACTTATTGTCCCTTAATGTTAAATTCGTATAAACAATTTGTTGTCCCTTAGTATGTGTCTTTGAGGACAACTAATTGTCACATGGATCACTTGTGGGGACGATCAATTGTCCTTTAACTAGTATTTTCAAAGACGTCTAATTTTCACGTATTTAACTGGCAGAGACGACCAATCATCCCCAAATCAATGTCTTCAAGAGCGTCAATTTGTCACCTATTTAACAGGTAGGGACAACCAATCGTCCCCAAAGCAGCGTCTTTAGTGTCATCGGACCATAGCTGCAAAACAATTTAGTAGCATAGTTAGAACTTGTAATGAAATATTATAATAGAAGATTTAATATATATGTATGTATATATATGTTACATTCAGAGCCACACCTATATATTTGCCTCCCAGAAAGGGGAAAAAAAATCAATGTATAAGTGCAAAACAAAATTAACATAGAAATTAAAATGAACACAACTAAAGAAACAAAAACGAGGAGTTGAGAAAGAGATTAGGATTTAGGACATCTAGATTTGGTTTGCAATTCCGTGTACCCTAGCTTTAATCAATTGAAACAAGGGTCATGGCCCGGAAAAGAAAAGCGGCGGCGCAGCATAGAAAGAGAAGCAAAGACGCTGCTAAAAAACAGAGGACCTAAGAGCAATATACACAGACGCAACTGCACTACCAATGACTCTCAAGATCGAGCAGGGAAACAAATCGCCTAAAAAAACGTGAACTGAAACCAACCTGTCATCGGCAAAGAAGAATCAATTGAAGAGGAAAGCAGACATGATAGAAGGCAGTTCTTCAATATATCGAGTCCTTAAGGTAGGATTTTCGCTGCCAAAGCCAAATATGGGGGCAAAAAAATCGAAGATAAGAGGGAAATAGCAGTGGCGGATCCAGGATTTTTTTATAGGGGGTGTCCTCTTCCAAAAATTAAATTAAAAATTAATTAAATAATTCATAAATCAGAAAATATCCGAGTAGTACATATTTTAACAAAAGATCAGGACATATTTTCATATTTGGAAAAAAATATAAAATAGACTCAATATCTAAATTGTTCAACAAATCTGTATATCCTACTAGACAATAATGCACGAACTGATCTATTTGATTTCTAACCTTGTTCTTGATGTAACTCAAAGTAGAAAGACTCTTTTAACTATTGTCGTGTAACCATGAAATCAATTCAAATTAAGGATAACCCGTAATTAGTTTAATTGTTAGGTTTTGAAAATAATTGGGAATAAGGAATAATGTTTTTACTATTTTATAGTGTTTAAAATAGAACAAGAAACGAGTTGAAACCTAGAGAATATGTTTAATAATAGTAGTGTTCTAGGTTTGAATAATACAAAGTACCACTTATATTTTTTTAATCATACACAATTACTACCGAGATTAGGATAATCATTTTTTTAAATTTAAGGGTGTCCCGGATTACAGATTATAATTTTTTTATCCATACGAAACTATTATTTGAGGTTGGATAATCGTTATCCCAAATTTTAGGGGTGTCCCGGGACACCCCTAATGATCCATGTATCCGCCACTGGGTAATAGAGATGTAATCGGGCAAAAAATAGAGATATAACGAAAAATATATTAAAACGATTTATGTCTATCTTGAGGAAAGAAAATCAAATCAAAAAAATCTATTTTTTCGCCAAAGCCAAATACACGGCTGCCTGCCAATGCCATTACCGGGAAAATGGAACGTGTTCGCCTGTTTGGAGCTTACTGAAAGTTCAAAATTTAGGCTGAAAAGGGCCGCCAATTCTTTTTGGCTAAAAGGCCCGCCACTCCAAGTAGGGGTGTTCAAACAGATTGGTTACCGTGGTAACCATATTAACCGGTAGCATTCGGTTAATTTGGTTTGGTTAATTTGGATAATTGGTTTGGTTTGGTTAAACAATTTAGCTTATTTGGTTTAGGTGGTTTGGTTTGGTTTCAACACTGCTAACCAATGAAACCAATTAACCAATTAATGATACACCTAATATACAAAATTATTTATACTTCCATGCAACCAACCAAACCAAACTTTCGTGATTTCCTATTTTATTTCCATGTTCACAACAAAACAAAGCATTATGGGTAAAAAATTAAATGGGTTGCCTATTTACTAAACCAAAACATTTTGGACAGCTGCTGGACTTTAGGATTATGTAAAATACCATGACAGTCAACTCAAACTATCTATAGTTTAAGTGTTTTGTAGGGGAGCTTTAACTTCCTGATGAGTGGTATTGGTATGTATTTAATATTTATGTTAAGGGTTTGTTGTAAGCTAACTATATTAGGTGCAGAGATGATGAATGGTGTATTAACTCGAATGATGATGATAATCAAGGATGGTTAGTCTTATTATTATTGCTTATATATTTATGATAGTAATAACATGTGCTTATGTTTTATTCATTAATAGGATAATTGTTTTCATGTAATGTAATGTTAATTATTTATGTTAAGGGTTTGTTTTCATGTCATGTAATTTAATGTAATTGTTTTATTCATTATTTATGAAGCGCAATGCGGCAGTACTGAAGCGCCCCTCGATACTGTGCCTTGTCATAATTACGAGCAATGCATGGACAAAGTTATCACGACGCTACAGAATGAAACGCCCAAGAAAAAGGGCTACAGTTACACCAGGATATACCCGCGCGGCACCTTCGGCGGCGTTACAGGTTCTGCCAGTTGTGTCCCGGGGACCGACCTCCAACACTGCAAAGAGTGTCTCGTTGGTGCCAAGACCGTGTTGGACGGCTGCAAGTCTTACGCCGCTGGCTCGTTCACCGGCGACGTCTGTACCATGTCATATGCCCAGTACCTCCCTCGTGAATGACACTAGTTTAGTTTGGTCTTGCTGTAGTTTTTGCAGAAACAGCTTCTGGCTGGAGCTTTTAGATAAGTACTTTTCAAAAAAAGCAGTTTAGTGTTTAGCTGTAAAACTATTAAAAGTGCTTTTTAATATGAACGGTTGTGTAAAATGACTATAAATGACTTATAATATAAAATAAAAATAAAAATTCTAAACAATAAAAAGTAGTCAAAATGAATCTTGTTAGATTTCTTTTATATTAAATAATCTGATTTTATAATTTATTTTATTTTTAAAATGATATAAATGAAAGAAAATTATATTTTCTGAAATAAAATTAAAATATGGTAAAGATAATCTTGTATTTTCAAAATAGCTTTTCGCAAAAGCTCCTTATGTTATACAAAAGTGTTTTTAGGCTTCTTTATGTTATACAAAAGTGCTTTTCGACTTTTCAAAAGCCGAGCTTTTAGAGGTGTTTGACACTGCTTCACCTTTTAAAGCCGAAAAGTACTTCTAAAAGTCGGACCAAACATAAACAGTATAGTCCTGCAATAGTCTTAACAATACCAGCTATAGGGAACTAATCAGTAACAAGCTAGGCGGCCTAGTAACAATAGCACTCTCTTTGTATTTTTCCTTTCTGTCCCTTTGAAGTTGTTTTGAATAAGTACTTTCCCACCCAAGGTCACGTGTGGCAGAGTTGGATTAAGATCTTGGATTCAGTCTCGTCCTGCCTAAATATCTGTTCATCATAAGGCAAAATGCACATGTGTAGTCAAAATTTTAACGGTTTTGCCAAATATAACCACTTTTGATGAAATACCAATAATAGTCACTTTCGTTCAATTCTTTAACGGTGTTAGTTAACGTGCTGACTGGACTAACAGAAGGACTGACATGGCAACATTAATTAACTAACATTGTCACATGGATTTAATTGAAAAAAAATATTTACTCTGCCTCTACCACCTCCTCGTCCGGCTCCTCCTCTACCATTAACTTCCATAATTCTTCCCAACCATTAGTTCTCCAACCAATTCATCGCCGCCAACCATCCATCAAACTCACCTCCCACATCCCCACCAGCCTCTCCCCTGTCTTCTTCTTCCTCTCCAAGGACCGCAACATCCAACAACCAATTTTGCGCAGGTGGGGTCTTTATTCCTAGGACGGTACGTTCGTCAAATCCCTCCGCCACTCGATCTCTCTGCAATCTTCGCCCAATGTCGATCTTCTCCCGGATAATCGTTCTTCGCCATCAAGGAAAGGCGTGAGGGATCTCCATCGGCAGGGGTGGAAACAGATCTGGACCATCGGCAACTTAATTGAGGTCGCATAGCAGGGAGTAAATATCCTTGATGGATTTGTCTCAGGAGGAGGTGAAGGTCACGTTTAGGGATGGCAATGGGTCGGGTTGGGGCGGGTTTTGTCAAACCCAAACCCAAATCCATGGGTTTATCCGCCAAAAAAACCCGGGGTAAAACCCGTTGGGTTTGAAAAACTCAAACCCAACCCAACCCGCTGGGTATTTGCGGGTTCATGTGTACCCGTGGGTTTTTGTGGTAAAAAATTTACAATAACAAGTTTCTTTCAAAAGAATTAATTTTCTCATACAAATTATTCATATAAAAAAACACCAATCTAGACCATACAAGCAAACCGCAAATGATCAATACAAATTGTTCAAAATTAAAGATAAAAATCTATAAACAATAACATTAATTGAAAACTTCTTACTCGTCAACTAAGTTTCTTCACTCTCCACTTCATAATATCAACTTCATTCTAAACAATTAGAAACAACAAATTATATATGTCTCCACAAACATAAAGAATATTAATTGTTTAAAGAAGATATATTATTTAGAGTATTAAATATATCGGGAAAGTAATTATATGTGTGGGCGGGTACTCATGGGGCGGGTTTACCTAAACCCAAACCCAACCCGACCCGGTGAATAGTGTAGCGGGTTTAAACCCGAACCCGGCCCAAAACCCGTCAACATGGGTTTTATCCATGTTGACCGGGTTGGGTCGGGTGGGTACCCGTGGGTTCGGGTTTTGTTGCCATCCCTAGTCACGTTTGAGTTGTCAATGGGGGTGGATTTGGGAGGCTTCCCACTGCTGCTTGCCTATGGCGAGACCCATCGATGATGGCGAAAACCTCAGCAAGACTAGGAGGATTCCCCGCAGAAGCTGCCGACTGCTGCCTCTCTCTCTCTCTCTCTCGCTCTCTCTCTCTCTCTTCGCCGTCTGGGTGCTTACTAAAGCTCTGGCGGATCATTTGTAGTCGATTAATAGTGATGGTGATGGGAGTAGTAGTGGTGGGTTGCTGGGGGAGAAGAAGAGGGGTATTGGTAGAGATTAATGGTGATTGACGATGGGAAGAGGGGCGGTGGGTTGCTAAGGAGAAGAAAAGGGTTCGTGGAGCTAGGGATTAGGGGAAATTTTTTTTTTTTTTTTTTTTTTTGTAATGACGTGTCGTCCACCTGTCAGTGAATGTTGAAGTGAAAACAAAAGAGAGGGTGAGTTGGAAGCCAGGTCAGCGTTCCGTTAATTTGACTAACGGTGTTACTGACGTCGTTAAATTATGTAACAAAAATGGCTATTATTGTCATCAAACTTTCAAAATTCTGGCTATTATTGGTATTTCTCCAAAGTGACTATAATTGTCACAAACGTCAAAGTTTTGGCTACACAGATGCATTTTGCCTCATCATAACCATTGATCACCATTCCCATCTGTACCTCTTAGAATTTCACATCTAAACATGGTCGGTGCAACTAAATTATTTGAGGGCTGAGACACATAAATCAATGTATTGTTCTCACATAATGTTACAGTTGAACATCCTTTTCTAAGCAACAAAGGTTACCCTAACAAACAAAGAAAGAAATCGCAGCTGTATCAAAACCAAAATTCAAATCTATATCACTACTAGAATAACATAAATGCATGTAACTTCACCTATTCTGGGCCAAGAAGTTGCACTGAGTCCGGGTTGTACTCCAAAGAATAGCTATTCTTCATATTTTCTTCTAGGAATACAACAATACACACCATCGGCTGGTTCATACGAAGAAAGGCTTGGCTTCAAAGAGGTATCCACTAGCAGTTCGTCAAGGGTTATGCGTTCTAGACAAAAAGAATTCTCTGACTTCCATGAATGGCAAGAGTCTTGAGCCTAGAATGCCATTTTGCCAGCCAGCCTGCTCTCCAGAATCCTTCGGTCAATAGCTGCATCAATGGAACTCATCTGTAACACACAACAACAGAAGAGAATGATCAGTTAATGAACACTTGGAAGACAATTGAAGGTCCCATGTATCTGAATGCTTGGCCTCTGCAAAATATACCAAACTTTGCAAAAGAAGCTGACCTGGGCCAAAGCCTGAATTCACTGTTCAGCCATAAAAATAAATTGTAATTGTAATGATCTTATGAATGGAGAAAATTCCGTTGGATATCATCTTTGTTCACACCAGACCTCCCACAAAGTGAAGCATAGGAAGGGAAAACAACAAAGGAAAAATACATAAAATTTAATTTGAATAAGCAAAATACATACACTCTGCTCAACCGAGAATGATGATAGGATGGAGAACCCTTGAGGTGTTCCAGCACGCTTGCCAAAAAAGGGTAATTACTAACTACCACCAATAACAAAATGTGTACATACTCATATCTTTCCATAACTACATGTTGAGTAAGATTAGCAAGCAAACCAGGTCAATAGAAGTCAAGCACAAGAAATACTTTGTTAACTACATGTTGTGCCACTCAACCAACAGGCCGATCAAAAGAAATACTTTGTTAACTATGTATTTCTTGATTGAAGGGAATTCAAAAACCAACATATGAATAGGAAACAATTCATTAAAAATGTTTTATCAGAAAACACAGAATGTAAAGCCTACCGAACTGGTCAGATGAGGAAACAATTCCCAAATACGAAAGAGGTAGTCATAACTTACCTGGCTAGTTTCATCATGCACCTGATACTTTGGTAAGGACATTCTTCTTTCCTCCTGCAAGGAACTGATAGTATTAGGAGAACAGAAATTGAACTTTAAAATATTTTATACACCCATGAAGGGTTTTACAAAAAGGACCAGCTGACTTACCATGGACATTGCTTCATCATCCCAAACTAAATACACTTCACTCGGCTGGTTAGCAGGAGCTTTGTTAGCAATTACTGGAGGCGGTCCAATAGATGGACCCGCAGTATTTGGACCAGAAGCATAGGAATGTGAACTAGGAAATGCTGAACCTACAATAGACATTGGCAGACAAAATAGTTAGCATGGATAATGTATATTATAATAGCTTGAACAACCAAAATCACAATTTGCTTCTGACAGAATCATAAATTATTATGCATGAAAATAGCGGCATTCTATCTTTTTACGTTGAAAGGCCAGATTTCACGAGGCAGTACTTGGTTCACTCCTCGCAGCAGAGTTCTACTATTTACCTTCTTAATAGGATTTATTCAATTAAAAAAATAGGAGCAAATTGCAAAAAACCGTGCAAGGGCAGCAAAAGAACCAACCTGGCAAATTAGAAACCTGGTATCCAGCTGGCATGGTATAATTGTTAATTCCAGAGTGTATATCTGCTTGTCCTCTCAGTTCTGCAGAGGTTCCAGGTGGTATACTAGGGGGCGGCAAAGGACCCGAAAATGGTTGACTTTGTGGTAAATTGCTGTTAACTACAGGAAAAAGAGGCTGCGACACAGGAACTGGAGGTGTGGATGAAGGCAGTCCAGGAGGAGCCACCTGAGCAGGAAGTACGGTTGCGGGTGGCGATGGGCCTAAAGGAGCCCTCACATTTTGCACAGGAAACAATGGCTGCTGACCATATCCTGCAGGAGCTGGAGGATGAACTGAAACCATAGGATTCTGTGGATACCAAGTCTGGGGACGTGGAGGAACTGGCCAACCTCCAGGCGCACCAGAACTGTAGCTGCAATAGGTGAAAAATAAGATGTAAAAAACACACACAAGTTATTCACATCTTCTGATTGCGTCCTCATTTCACTATTAACTTTAAAATATTCTTCTTGAAAAGGAATGTTACAAAATTTTGGTTTTTAACAAGCAAGGATGTCAACAGACGTGTAATTTCAAAGATAACAGGCTCCTTGTGGAAGAACATTGCTTCAACATAAAAGCCTAAAATGGATCCTAAGAAGTTTGAACGGATTAATCGAGTCTTTTTTTTTTTTTTTTTTTTTTGCAGGACCAGCCGTATAATTCATAATTACTATATTTTTTTGAGAACTTCCAGCAACTATTCAGAGGCAGAAAACCATCTTCCAGACTTTCCATTTGCCTAGGGAACCCTATGAATATGAGTTATAAAGACCCCTAATGTCAGAACCATGACTAGAGAGCTACATATGATGGATTCCATCAAACAAAGTAACACACTTGAAGGACAAATTCTTAAACAAGCATCCTGTACAGAGCCCAAAAAATCCATTCAACCCCAGAAATACTTATGAGGATGGGAACAGGAAGACTAGCACCCAAACAAAGGTAGGAATATGTGAAAGTGAACGATAACAAAAGTATGAAACTTACACTGGGGGGCCCGGGCCTAAAGGTCGTGGACGATATCCAAGAGGCAATGAACCTGGAACTACATAAGGTGTAGAAGGAATCTCCACCTTTGCAGCCTTTGATGGAGCTTCATCCTCTGTAAGAGATTCAATGATCATCAGAAATTCCATCTCTAACAGCACAATTAGCAAATCCACAAGTGAAGGCATACAAAGTAAATCATCCTGAGGAATTTGGGACTTGTAATTTTGAAAGAAGTGCAGCCACAATCTTACCATCTTCTCCATAGTGAGCAGCCAATACATCAGGTGGAATACCTTGCATTCCATATATTTCAATATCTGTTGCTTCTCTTCCAGGTTTAGCATTGGGAACTCTGGATCAAATCATAGACGAAAAGCACATTAGCACAGTCATAATTCAAATGAATGACACAAAGTTGAAGGTAAGACCTTTAGAAATATCTGCTGTACTCAGGCAACATTGGAATCTAAGAATTTAAACAGCCCACAAAGCCAAAGTCAATAGAACACACCATTGCTCTTCACATAAGACGAACCCTACTTCTCTCCCTTCCATGTCCAATAACCCGTTTCTAGAGTTATCCCACCATGTCTAAAAAAAATCATTTATGAGGTACCAGTACATGGAAATTCCTAGCACCCTGCTATATGAATGCAGAATCCAGATGAAGTTCTAAAATTCTGACTTTCCGAGAACCTAGTACTAGTCGCAGTCCCTTTCTAACCACGGAAAACGCAATTTCTAGGAGCAACTAGCGAGAGCAGAAAGGGCATTACTTCAAAAGAAGACAAAAGCAAAGAAGCGCAGACATATCCTATTCAGAAGGTGAAATTTTTAGACGTAATGAAGCTGAAGAATGGCAAAAGAGCGAGGGAGGGAGAGGGTTTATTACTTGGTGACGGACTCCTTGTGGACCTGAAGGACGTGAATGGTCATTCCGCCGGCGGTGGAGAGCTTCTTGTGGCAGACGTGGCACTTGAAGTGCTTGGCCTTTTGATGCTGGACTAGTATCTTCTCGTCGTCGAATTCGCGATCGCAGTAGTAGCACCAAACCTTGGAAGGCGCTCTCTTCTTCTTCTTCCCCATCTTCCGAGCGGCCGCCTCACAGCTATTCCTTCTCTCCTCTTTCTACCGAGGCGTGCAGAGACGAATCTTGCTCTGTTCGAGCTCCCCTAATTCTTCCGGTTTTAGGGTTTCGCCTTGTCGATGGAATGTGTCCCTTATCGCTGGTTCGAGCAAGCCGCGTCCTATTATCGTCGTCGGTCTAAGACTAGTGAGTGGTAACCCCTTTATTTATATTAGGCAAATCCCGGCTGCCTACGTTGAAACCCACCCGTTCCCTATTTTGTTTAAACGACCCGTTTTAGGTCTTAGGGTGAAATATACGTATCATGTATGATTAGAACATACTATTTTTAACAAATTTAATTGATGATTTCATAAATGTTGGTAATTTTCTTTACTTCTAAAGATTATTTTGGTGCAACTTTAAGCATATAATAATTAGCCCAAATGGCATATACTTAACACAAGCTTACAAGCAAGCAAGCAACCAAACATCGTTTAAATACTTATACATACTTGGTCCTTCAAAACCAAAATGGGTGGTACGGTGTTTAGGGAAAAGTCAACTTGGCCTCAACTCAAAACCAACGGCATTGTAACAGGCAGCCTAAAAAACATGAAACAGCAAGGATGCCAGGACAACTTCTCACAAAGTTGAGATTTAAGAACTGATGTTCCTTACTAGTGTGATACTACAGCCTGCTGACCAGACACCAAGACCGTGTTCTCTTCTCTCTACAAGTTCATATTTCGTTTTCCTATCCTTCTACTCTTCTTTCTTCGAGGACTCTGGAGAATCAACGGGTTTATTACCAGTGAGTTTCTTTACGCTGTCTTTGGCCTGAGCGACGAATGCAGCATCGGGCTCGTGTTTATCCACAGGTTCCTTCAGCGCCATAAAAATGTAGAATGCGATGACGATGTTAACTGATACGACAGCAACGAATCCACTCACCAACGTCAGAGAATGTGGGGACATCTGGGTTATACCTGTTCCGGAATAGAATGTCAATGCAAGCAAACAAGTCAAGAAAGCAGAAACAGAATGAAAATTTTGCTGCATTTAGGTAGTAGACACGAGAACTTTGACTTGCCCAATGCAGGACAATGTATGCTCAAGTAGCTAAACTATTTCATCATCAAACAGAAAACAGACACAAGACCATATTTTGCATCCAGAAATAATCAAAATCCCCTTGCTTTACATGTACTGAAAACGAGTTTTCCTTTTCTCTATTCTCTTATGGGTGGCATCAACATGAAATAAACAGCCAGACTACTCTTAGTACTACAGCCAATGGGCATGGTAGCATGCCCCTAGTACTGTATTAGTTTCTGTACAGTTCAGCTAGAGGCTGTAGTTGATTCTATTAACCAATGCTCTTCTCTAAGCAGTAGACCAGTAGTTTGCCAGCAGAAAATGAGAATGGCTGGGAGAGAACTGGGGTAGCATTAGCTAGTCAACAGTTCATTGACTACAGCAAGAAAATTCAGCTAATGTTAAGCGCTTATAAGTGACAGGTGTAGGCCCAACCAGCAGAGAACCTAGGCTGAGGATGGTTGATCATGTAGAGAATTAAAGAGAACATCCGTGCAAGCAATGGGTACACTGTACTTTTTAAGGTTTTGTGAAGTGTAGCAGTAACCTATGGCATCTCTAACCAAGCAGAAACTATTCCTCCAAGATTGCAATCTAGAAACTATACCAAGTGCACCTGCAACCAACAGTTCTGCACCCATCAAGCCCATTAGCTGTGCTGAAGTTCCTTGACCCTAAAGCTTATATTTGCATCATTCTCTACTCCATTCATCTATCACACTGAATCTTGCATTTCGCAGTTTTTACTATAAATCTTGCCATTTGGTCAGCTCCAAATATTCAGAGTCTAACCTTTAGATTTTCAGTTCAAACCTTCATATTCACATAAACCAAGCTCAACCAGTAGGCAACTTTGCAGCTTGTTTATAATGGTTGAGAGCTTATACGGTAAGTCTCCCATTTATTAGCTTTCAATAATCTCCCAGCAACAAAAGAAAACGGCTTAACCATCCAGGGATGCTCCACAATCAAACTTCCACGTGTTCAGCTAGAAATCCTGGTTGACTGATGTCCTCCATTAACAGATATCGATGTGGTTCTCAGACACTCTACCTAGATTCAGAACTCCTATCATGCAACACTTAAAATTTACCTTGTAGATGTAACTAAACAATCCAGCTATACCACGCTAAGTTAGCCAAGAGTGAGTAGCTAAAAAGGGACTGGTCTCTATCATTATGATATGACCTCATGTTGTGCTAAGAGACGGCTCAAAATCTCAGTTGTGAAGTGTTACTTCGCAAATCACCCGTGTTCAGTAAAGGTAAATTACGGTTCCAATCCAAAACTACAGCCCTTTAGATCAATTCGCAAACTCAAAAACTTCCAATACTACCATACTAGATCAGTAACTTCTTCGCCACTAAAACATCCACCCTAGTATGTTCTATAGCCTGATTTCAAGAGAACACCACAAAATTGATCTAAAAAAGCCCTCAATCACTTTGTTCTCATGCAAACAACTATAATGCGAACTGACACCCAGATAGCCAAGTTCACCAAAACCAAGCTCGAACAGTAGGCAAATTTGCAGCTTGTTTCTGATGGTTGAGAGCATTTCCGGTAAGTCTCCCATTTATTAGCTTAGCTAACAATAATCTCTCAGCAACAAAAGAAAAAGGCTTAACTGTCCAGGTATGCTACACATTCAAACTTCCATGTGTTCAGCTAGCAATCCTGGTTGACTGATGTCCTTCCTTAACAGATATTGATATGGTTCCCAAATACTACCTACATCCAGAACTCTTATCTTGCAACACTAAGAAGTTACCGTGTAGAGGTAAATAAACAATCTAGCAATACCAAAGCGCCAAGTTAGCTGATAGTGAGTAGCAAAAAGGGACTCGTCTCCACCATTATGATATGGCCTAAATGCTGCGCTCAGTGACCGCTCATAATCTCAGTTGTGAAGTGTTATTTCCCAAATCACCTTATAGTTCAAATCCAAAACTACAGCCCTTTAGATCAATTCGCAAACTCAAAAACGTCCAATACTACCAATATCATACTAGATCAGTAACTTCTTCGCCACTAAAACATCCAATCTAGTCTGTCATATAGCCTGATTTCAAGAGCACACCGCAGAATTGATCTCCAGACAAGTTTACCTAAATTAATCTCGAGTTTATGGTTACCTACGGAAACTTAATCGACCAGAGACAAATTCCCTCCACAATCACAAACAACACAAGAAAGCAAGCCCGAACCTGACGACGAATAGAAGAAAACAATAAAATTGAACAAGAGTGAAAGAAAATAAGCTTACCGGGAAGCAAGTTATTGTTAAATGCATACAGGATCGCAATTGGAGCAATCCACATGAGCATTGAAGTGATGAAGAACTTCTGCACCACTCCTGCCATTGCTGGTCCCTTACCTTCCAAACCAAATGCAGACCGGAAGCCAAGTTCTGAAGAAATTTCTCAGATCACGAACTAATCGACTGAACCAAAGCAAGAGTTGATTGGAAGCAGGAGTACATTCAGTTATCCCCGGAAGGACTTCCACGAACAACTGTGCGAACTGGCTTGGGGATGTCGGATTTTCAGAGACGACGAACAGTAAAAGAAGAGCTGAGGAATTCGGCGGTTGGGAGTTGAAACCTCGTCCTATTGTGAACGGTGGACGTTGAGTACTTCACGCTGGAAGCCGGAGGGAGCTCGCCGACGGACCTAATGGGAGATTAATTGACAGATCCCGGCTTTGCAAGTTGCAATCCCTAGCTCGCAGACAGTCAGGGGCTCAGGGCATCACATATTTGCTTGGGCCCAAACCCAATTCACTGAACTAGGATCTTGGATGTCTATCGGAAGCTTAGGGGACGAATTCGGTTTGCTTCCTCTGCATGTTTAATGGGCTAGGCCCGTCTTGTTTGGATCCATGATCCCAACTTCAGATACATGCATGATGCATTCAAAGAGGAATAGTTGTTAGTGGCATAGTGCACACTTAATACGTTGTTGATTGGAATGTCATTTGAATAGAATGTATTTATGATTTGTATTTTAAAGTTTACAAAATATTTGAAATATTTATTTTTACTCAATTGCTAAATTAATTGGTAAAATCAAATTAAAATTATTAAAATATGAAAATGATGTATCAAACACCTAAGAAATCCTTACAGGTAGTTAGTGGGCTAAGTTAAGCTAATTGTAGTGAAAAATTCATCCAATTTTAAGATTTTAGTTTTCTGTATGTTTTTAGTTTAAAAGGATTTATTAATTTTTTTTATATATAATTGGTAATGATGCATGTTGTTATTTAAAGAGACCATAATTCATATCTCATTATTAATGTAATTTTAATAAATAATAAATAAATAAATATAAATCTACTATTTTCACTTTCGTTCTCTGGTTAGAAGACTGTTGGGGATGGATATATGCTAGCTATTAACTGTTGCTATTTTGTATTTGCAGCTGCAAAAGTTAAGTCCATGTATGTGGTTTTTTTTTTACAATAATACCAACTATTATTCCACCATTGAAAGAAACGCGTTCGAAAGCGATTACAAACTTAAAGCAGATCAGAAATTAGATCAAGAATACTAATCCAGTCATCTAGCAGAGTAGATCTAGCTTTTGATCGTGCCACCCAATCAGCCCTAACGTTCAACGCCCTTGGAACCTCTTTAACCAAAATTGTAGGGTTATTCCTAAGGATATTAACCATTGTTCTAATCCAGGCTGCACATCTCCAGGGCCATCGAGACTGATTATGCTTCAGGGCCTTCACCAGTATTTGACAGTCAGATTGTAGTGTACAAATCGATCCATATTCTTGTGCTAATTTAATACATTCCAAGAGTGTCTTCGCTTCCGCTTAAATCGCGGTGGAACAGAGAAGAATCTCAGCTCTCCCATCACACACTTGTCCATGGTGTTTAACAACAAAAACACCATAAGCCGCCGACTGGGAGTCGCTAAGGAACGACCCATCACAGTGAATCACCAACAAGTGATTACTTGGCAGGGGGATTCGTAGTGGGAAAGGATCCCCTAAGCTGAGTGGGACCATCAGAAGAAGGAGGCGGGGGCCTCGGGCAAGCCATCCATTTCGTTAGCTCTCTATAGGTTTGCAGACATACGTTTGGGGTCATGGAACTCTATTCTTGAAAGTACTCTCGTTTCTTGCCTTCCAAATGTTCCAACAAAGGTAGATAATGTGAATCAGGGAGTTATTGGGGATGGTATCTTTGAGGGAGCAGAACCAGTCAAAGAAAGAGGTACCCTGGGGAGGGATCGGGAGGGATGGGATGGAATTCCATGACTCTGTGGCATGAGGGCTGTAGAAGAGGCAGTGGTTAAGGGATTCGAAAGGGTTTTGACAAACTTGGCAAATCGGTTTAGGAGCACATTTCCGTTGGAAGAGCCTTGCTTTTGTTGCCAACCCATTTTTTGAACATCTCCAAATGAAGAATTTAAGCTTTAATGGAATATTCAGTCCCTAGATCCATTTCCAACTCTCTTCACTTCCTGTCGGTTGGAAATTGGTGTTTGCTTTATGAACAGCGTGGTATGCCGTCTTAACTGAGAAAGCCCCCTCACGAGTGAGGCCCCAAGCCCAAAAATCCTCAGATCCCTCTTCTCCAATTGGAATTTTAAGGATAGCATCCACTTCTGCTCTCGAAACATGACCTTGAGCAAATCTGTGTTCCATCTCCTATTATCAAGGTCTATCCAGTCCTTGACCCTCAGGTTCTGTTGGGGGCCACTTCCAATGACAAGGTTATGCAGGCTCGGAATCCATGGGTCTTGACCAACCCATGTATCCTCTCCCGACCCGATGATTTTAACTACTCCAATGTTGATCACTTTTTTTTCCTCCCATAGACTCGCACAGATCCAAGAGGATCTACTTCCTCTTTTGGAATGTAGGAACCCTCATCTCGGGAAGTACAAACCCTTTAGAAGACGACACCAAAGGGCATCCGTGGAATTAAGGAGTCTCCATGCTTGTTTCGCCAACAGGGCCATGTTGAAGTCCTTGAAGCTTCGGAATCCCAAACCCCTTTCAGATTTCGGAGCACAGAGAATTTCCTTCCTACACCAGTGCATGGTGATTTTCTGCATTGAATCTGACCAGAAGAAGTTGGTGAGGAGGGAATCCATCTTCTTGGTAAGGTTCACCGGAAGGTGAAAGAGGTACATGATGTAGGAGGAAATAGCTTGTATAACTGCTTTGAGCAAAACCTCTTTCCCTCCATGAGATAGGAGGAGAATTTTCCATGCTTCCTCATCTTCTCCATTCTCTGAATGAGGAATTAGAAAGTTTCCTTCCTTGACTTCCCCCACTCTATCGACACTCCTAAGTATTTTGAGTGACAATTAGAAGAGGCAAACCCGATGTGAGCAATGATCGCAGCTTTGTCACCATCGGGTACATTAGCACTGAAAAAACTATGGATTTGTTTATATTCACTTCTTGACCCGTGATGGCTCCGTACTCTCTGATAAGGTCAAGGATTTTCTCTGCCTCTTGATGGTCAGCCTTTCGAAAGATGACTGTATCATCTGCAAAAAGACAGTGGGTGAGGATCGGGCATCTCGCGTTTAACCTAATTCCTTTTAACTGGTTCTGGGAAACCACTTTGTCAATCAGAAAGGTGAGAGCATTAAACATTAAAATGAAAAGGAAGGGAGAAAGTGGGTCTCCCTGTCTAATTCCCCTTGACGGTTTGAACTTCTTTGTAGCTTCTCCATTGAAGAGGATGGAGAAATTGACCGTTCGGATGCAAGAGCTGACCCATTTGCACCATCTATCATCAAAACCATACTTCTTCGGTAAAGTCTCTAAGCACTCCCAGTCCACCATATCATACGCCTTCTTCATGTCCAACTTAAGCATTATGTCTCTTCTCCTTCCCCTCTTGTGGTTTTTGAAATGATGGAGGGCCTCGTGGACAATACTGATATTGTCTTGGATGAGTCTACCTCCAGTAAACGCATTCTAGAGCTCCGATATCAAATCAGGTGTCCATATTTTCAGACTATATTGTCTTGGATGAGTCTACCTCCTTATCCAACCATCTTTCACCACTCTAAAGGGAGTTTTCCTCCTCCTATTCACCCTGCAATAGAGTTCCAATCTGATTGGGCAATGGTCCGACTCTACCATCTTTTCATGGAAAACAGTCGCTTCCCCGAAGAGTACTCTCCAAGAATGCGAGCACGACACTCGGTCCAAGCGGACTCTCGTTGTATTCTCGTCGGTACGCTTATTGGTTCATATGAACGGTTCTCCTTTAAACCCTAGATTAATAAGAGCATTATGGAAGATGAACCTTTTAAAAGGTTCGACATTCTCGTACCTAAGAGGACATCTACCCTCTTTTTCACTTTCATAGATAACAGCATTGAAATCTCCTAAAATCACCAAGTTATCCTCCCTACTACTCCGAAGAGAGCTCAGATGCTCCAAAAATTCCCTTCTACTAACAACGGTAGAGGGTGCATGGAAAAAATTACAAAAGAACTTCCTACCCATATCAATACTACAATCCATATAATAGCTATCACTACTTAAAAAATTAATGCTAATACCCGCTTTCCACCACAAAGCAAAATCCTTAGAAGAGTTAACCGGTTCAACATACTCTTTATTGGGAAAAATTTTGAGACTTCTTCTTTGCTCCTCCATGAATGTCTCGTTCTTGCTCGTCTCCATGAGGAAAACAATCGAAGGGCCCAAGATTCTACATAGACGCTTCACATAACTTCTTGTAAGGATTTGGCCAAAACCCCTACAATTCCAGCTAATAATACTCATTCTTGTAGAGGTGGCTTCTGGCGAACCACCGCTGCCTTTTTCTTCTTTCCCTGCCCCTCTTGATCATTTTCTGGGTTAATCCCCTTTGAACTGTTAGGATGGTGAGGCTTAAATTTTAGGTTCTTCTTCCTAATGGTCTCTCCATGTCCTCCCATCTCAAAAGCCCCTACTGGCCATAAAAATAAGGCCTCTTATTCAATTAAGTCGGCCTTGGGCCTACCTCCACTCACCAGGTCATTCCTTTTCTTTTCTTCTTTATCCGGCCCACGTCTTCTTCACTTCCCTCGTTGATGTGATGATAATCTGCTACGTTGATTGGGCCTGCCTGGCTTGGATAGTGGGCTGGCTTGTTCTACTTCATTGGCCCAAGGGACAAGGTTGTCCCCACCATTGTTTTTGGCCTCACTCCCTCGTGGAAAACCCCCCTCTTCCAGACTTAGCCCCATCTCCATCACCGCCGCCACCCTATCCATCTCCACATTCAAATTCTTCGATCCCATCTCTTCCATGTATCTTCCTCTCCATCTCCCCTGCGCATCATGTTCCTCCCTCCCTGTATTTCATGTTCAATCCTCCTAACGTTGAATCCTGAAAGGATTTGTAAGTTCCCCTCCGAGATCATGCCTTCTGACTCTAACGGAGACCATCCCTCTTCCTCTCCTATTCGATTCTGGCTTCCCGATCTCGATCTCTCTCTCCCCGCTGACGAGCTCTGTGAGCCTTCCCCCTCCCAACTACTTCTGACCTTGGTCGAGTGGTTCCTGTGTGGGGAGTCAATTCCAGCTTTCTGGGAATAATTATAAATCTCTGAAATGTAAGCTTTCAACTTCTAGTTATGGCCTATTCTTCCACAAAAACAGCATAATTCCACCAGCCTTTCGTACTTGAAATCGATCACGTCGCAGTGATCCAATCCTGTAGTGTCGTCGGTGAATGGAAATCAAACCCTGTCGGAACTGGTTCATTCAGGTCGACATCCCCCAGAATCCTCAAGAACTTTCTTTACCCCGTGAATTCCAGGCTAGCTCTATCCAGGTCAAGAAGCCCAGGGAAATAGTGGGCTCCAATTGCCACCATGTTTTGCTCGCTCCTTTGGTTCTGGTGCAATCCATGGATCTGCACCCACATAGCCTGCTTCTCCATTGGGACTTCTTCTGGTTTACCTCTTCCATTGTATTTCTCAATAGCAGCTAGAGTGTTGGACAGACTCCAGGGCTTATCATTCCATATCTTCTCCCTTACTTCTTCCTTGCTGAAAGTGAATATGAACAGATTTTGTGTTTACGTAGGTTGGACGTTTACCTCTCCATATCCTCCCCAAGCATAGCGTGTTTCTCCTGTAGCCTTAGCCAAAGCCACTCTGTTCTCGGTCAGCATCTTCTCCAGCATCATTGATATGCCTCGGCCCCCGGTTGATGAGAGGATTGGGCGGTCGCTCCTGCCCCTTGATAATGACGGGGTGAGCCTACTCTCCTCTCTTGATCCGCTTGGAACTCTGCCGTTGTTGGCATTCATGTTGAAAGTTGGGTTTTTTCCTTGTTATAATTGGTATTTTGTGTTTGCAGGGGAATCGAGGGGGGGGGGGGTTTGAGAAGCAAAATATGTTGAGTTGAGGAGCTCTATTGGAAGCAAGCACTCTTCTTCATTCCTTCTCTTCCTCTTTAAATCCTCTTCCAAGTAGGTGGTCTTTAATTTCTTCAATCTGGTGGTAGCTTTGTTTCTTGTCAAGACATTCATTACTCCTCTGTTGACTGATACTTACCCTTCTCTGCTTTCCCACCTCTGTCCCAGATGCACTTGGCTCAAGGCTGCCATCCCTCTTCCTTCTACTGGTGATGACAACTCCAGGGTAACATCCTTCAGATTCCCTTCTTATTCCTCTTCTCTTCCACTTTCTCTGACATTTAGAAGATATCTATCCAAACGTCTGGTGGTTTCCATATCCCACTTCTCTTTATGTCATTCCCAAATCTTCCCATGCCTTGTCCAATCTCCGTAAGAATCTCTTGCGTCGGTGATGGGTTGTGTCTTCCAACCTCTTGTTGATCTTTGCACTCTTTACTTGGTTGTTGAAGCTTCTTTATGGCGATCTCAGTTTGAGCTGGAACAGTCCCAACATTGGGGACGGAAAAGGAACCATTGTGGGGTTCAGAGAAAATTTCCGTTAGAGAGAAGGAGGAGAGAGACATGCTTTTTAGGAGTGTGTGGTCAATCCATGTATCTGGTTGAAGGAAGAAGTTCCAACTAAAATTGAATGTAAAAAAAAAATTCTTCTTTATATTGTAAAAAATAATGGAAACAGATCAGTATAGGCTATTCAACAGGGACTAGAGCTAGCTTGGAAACATGGTCATTGTGAGTTATCTTTAAGTCAGCTTTTAGACTGGCCAGATATACAAGAGGACCAGATCCTTCGAACCCTATGTCACTCTTTTAAATGTTGTTCACATGAAACTAGCTTAAGAATGGTTAGTTCATAACATTTATAATTATACATATTATAAAGAGAGTAAAGTCGTAAATTAGCTCTCAAAAGACATTCTCGACTATTGTCCCTTTGATATGCATGAGGGTGCGCGCGCCCATCATTAGGTATGGCAATGGGCAGATTTGGTGTGGGTTTGCCTAAATCATCATCATCCTCGCTTTCAAATATCCAAACTCATACATGCCCCATTTCCATGCGGAAGAAGTTTTTTCTAACTCATCCTCATACTCGTGGGTTTGGGTACCATGGGTAATGCCCTCCTCGTACATCCAACTATATAATACCTAAATTTTTACATGTAATTTTTCAATTATAACACTAAACGCACTACTTTATCATGAAGTCTACAAAAAGACAATCATTCTTAATACATGTCAAAGTATTTTATCCTAAAATATCCATTAATCTATAAGATAGAGTACAATTTAATCCAAATCATTATTCTCTTTGATACATCTACTAAACAATAACTAACTAATATAACCTTCTGATCCTTGTTCCGTTACTGGGTTTTCTCTTTAATATCATCATCGCCATTATAAAAAAAATATATAATCTTGTTAACACGAGAGAAAAAGTGAGAGTGAATGGAGAGTTGAAGAAAAGGATTTAAGTTTTGATTTGGGTGGCCACCCAATTACATATCTACTATTTATTTTTCTTGAGTTACCCTCACATGCAGTCATTGATACGTTACAATTTTATCCATCTATTTTTTCATAGGCGGAGGCAGGGCCTTTGGGCCTTGTCACGGGACGGGGGTAAATTTCGGAGGAAAAAAAACCATATATATTTATATTGACGATGTAACACAACACGTATAAGTTGTATGAGAACATTTTGACACTATAACAGGACTTATTACTTGTTCATCAATCGACATAAAATTAATTTATTATACCATAAACAAAATTCCAATTGCAACAAAATCTAACTCGATCTCTTTTCTACTAATGCCTATTCGGATTTTTCCCCAACAACCCTGAAATTATCCAGCGACAATGGCAATTCCACTAGTTTTTATTCTACAAATTGCAACTGCAAGTAGGGGTGGGCATTAGGTGGGTCGGGTGGATTTTGACCATAAAATGCACCCACAGCGCTTAAACGGATTGATAACTTTTAACCCACCACCCACCCACATTTAGTCTCGGGTTGGGTCGGGCGGATGGTGGATGATGCGGGTGGGTTTGTGGGTTCACCCACATCACAATGTATATAATATAAAGGAGTCAACTTGACATGATAATAGGTGAAGAGAATCATCGAGGGAAACAAGAAGTTGAAATAGGGCGAAAAATGTTGAATTAGTTCTTAAATGGGATAGAAATTCTATTATGAAAGAGTTTTTTACAGATTGAGACGATTATTAGGTGCAAGGAACTAAGTAAAATAATTCCACAAAGGAAAGAGCGGTGATCTAGGCACAAGAATTAGAGGAAAAAGTAAAGGGAAGAAGAGGGGATCTCTATTTGGAAGGTTGGCTTTGAGGTTCAAACTCCAGGAGCAGTCCGAGTTTATATCTAACGTCTCCACTCTCCTCTCTCTAGCGCCAACGACTTTGATCTTTTTGCTGTTGGGTTGAGTGGGTCTCCCGCACACTCACCCACAACCCACCCACCACCCGGCGGATGGCTCCCAGCGCAACCCGTCACCCACTCACAGACCCACCCACTTAACGAAATTCAGGTCAAATGCGGGGGGTCGGCCCAAACCCGGATGATCCGCCCGCATGCTCAGCCCTAACTGCAAGTGTAGAAAGAGCATTTTCATTTTTGACTTATAGTAAGAACAAGTTTCCAAGTCAAATTGGCGATGATTTTGCTAATGATTACTTAAGAGTGTAGACAACGAATGTTTTTACGTTTCTTTCACAATATGAAATTTCATCGTGGTTTTTATGAAAAAAAATGATTGTATTAGTCGGTTATGTTTTTCTATGAATGAATTATTTGAATATATTTAATCTTAATTATATTTAATTCTTTATTAAAAAATTATATATTTATATTATAAAAAGAGGACAGGTTAGGTTCAAATCGTGCCTCCGCCATTGTATTTTGTACATGTGAAAGAATATTTTTGATGTGGCAGGTATAGGTATTTGTATGGGACAGGAGAGATTAAAACCATACCCGCCCGATACCCATCAAACATTTTGCGAGTTTTACTCATACCCGCCCCCTACCTAATCAATGCGAGAATTCTCTGCGTTGACTGGATCGAATATTATTGAATAGCCACGATCATTGGTTTGATTGTCATCCCTACCCATCATCTTGTCAAAGGACAGTATCAAAGTTTCTTTTCCCATACGTATCGCTGAGGCCACCCCACTTACTCTCTTCTTGCACGTCTCCGCCGCCTAAAAGGAAAAAATGGAACAGCCAGCCACCTGATGTCATGATCATATATATCCTTGTCCATTATTTCATTTACGTACCTAAATTCATTCATTCATTAGCATCACAACAAGTAAGCAATTTGCAAGTAAAACGATCATGATCTCCATCACATTCCGCCTATCAATCTCGTCTATATATAGAGCTATAGCAACCAAACCATCCATGGTCTTTCACCATCTCATCATCCAGACATCAACTGCCAAACTGGTAAAAATGAGCCAAGATTTGGTAGGAGGTAGTATTAGCAGCGACGAGCTGTTTGAAGCTCAGGCTCGCGCCAGGAATTTTGCCTTCAGCTACATAGTTTCCATGGCGCTAAAATGCATCGTCGTGCTAGGAGTGCCCGACGCCATCCACCGACATCAGGGCCCGACCTCACTTTCCGACCTGGCCTCCTCCCTTCCCCTTCCCCTTCACCATTCCAAGGTTGACGCTCTGCGACGCCTCATGCGCCCGCTGGTCCACGCCGGATTCTTCACTGCTACCGTCAAAGGTGGCGGAGGTAAGAGTTAGGATTATGGATTTTTAACAAACATGCATCTTTAGTTATTATTTTTACATCCGATTTTTATCAAAGATGCATCTTTATTATTTTTACATCGAAATGTCCTCCATGTAATTTGGATTGTTAAACATGTCATTTTGTTAAAATTATCCTTCAAACACTGTCAACTACGGTCGAACCAAATTTGGGCTATACAAATGTTTAACATACCTTTCATAATTTCAGTTTAATATATTTTTTTATTTCTTATGTATAGCTCAATACACCTAATAATTTCACTTTATCGAGACTGAGAGAAATATAAGAAGGACAAAAATGACATTTTAATTTTCCTCTTATTTTGCCGAGGCCAGGTTATCCTAGTCACGGTTCCAAATTATTTGAGCATGTTTGATGTAAAAAATAGTAAAGTGACATGTTTAATAAAACTGCATAGTAGAACTAAAGGGGCATAGAACTATATCCATTCATTCCCCGTGTTTAAGCTCCCGCTTCACTCAAAATAGCGCTTTAAAGGTTACACTTTTATATTTCTAATCAGGACATCAAATCGCTTCTAAGTAATTTGCATTTTTTTTCTGCTAACTAATATAGTTAAAATCACAGTTTTAAATCTTAAAATGTTACGTTTTTACGCGCTTTTAGCTCGCCGCTAAAAGCGTTTCATCATAAAATCGCGCGCTTTCTAACTTCATTGCTTGTCGCACAGCTGATCATGAGCAACTTGGAGGAGAAGAAGAAGGGGAAGATCATTACTACTCCCTCACCACCATGGGCAAGCTGCTCCTCCCTGGCGGTTCACTATCCCCTTTCATAGACCTCCACCTCGACCCAAAAGTGATGACGCAGTGGGGAATGCTGAGCTCGTGGTTCCTCTACTGCAGCGACCCGGTGCCGTTCGAGGTGGTCCACGACGGCATGTCGTTTTGGGAGTGGCTGGACAAGGAGCCGGACCAGAAGAAGGCGTTCGGCGGGGTCATGGTCGAGGACTCCAAGCTGGTGGCGAGGGTGCTGGTGTCGGAGTGCAGGGAGGTGTTTGAAGAAAGTGAGATGGAGTCGTTGGTTGACGTCGGCGGCGGCGCCGGGACGATGGCTATCGAGATTGCCAAGGCGTTCCCGAAGCTCAAGTGCACTGTGTTCGATCTCCCTCGCGTGGTTGCCAACTTGAAGGAGGGAGATGGTGTTAAGGGTCTTGAGAATTTGGAGGTCGTTGGAGGGAGCATGTTTGACAAAGTTCCCCCCACAGACATAGTCCTCCTCAAGGTCCGTATATACATATATATGTATATATCATTATCAATAGTGTTCGATTTATTTGATTGGACGATCAGTAACGAGTTGGATGAATTTTTTTTTACAATATGTAGGAAATTGAAGAGGATGAACCATCGAATTTTATTGGTTTCGTTGGTCCACTTTTTTAACTGAAAAAGGTTTCAGAAAAATATAATACAATTTGAATTGATACCATCAAATTTTAATTGCTAATTTTATTTCTACTTTATCTTTTTCATTTTCTAGCCTCTTGACTAGATTTAGGCAATCCACTACCGACTGTCATCCTAGCTATTACTTTGACTTTTGATAATAAAAAAGTTAAATGATTTCTCTTGCGAGATTGTTTAAATAATGTATAAGAAGTTTTGGTGCAAGATGGTATGAATTTGGAAGAATTTTTCGTTATTGACAATCTGAGTCTTGAATTTATGTGTTATCTATGTCTTATAACATCGACCAATGGGCAATGGTTATACAATGGTTAATCACTAAACCATCGACCAACTAACCAACTTGTTGGCGATATGTAATGTTGCAGTTGATTCTTCATGATTGGGATGATGAGAAGTGCCTGAAGATTTTGAAGTGTTGTCGGGAGGCAGTCTCCCACGATGAAAAAAAGAAAGGGAAAGTGATCATCATAGATATGGTGATGGGCCATAAGGCTGTGCTCGAAAATCACGAGTTGTCTCAAGTGCAGTACTGCTTCGATCTGCTGATGCTTGTTAATTTCAATGGAAAAGAACGAAATGAAAAGGAATGGCAGAGCTTGTTCATGGCGGCGGGTTTCAGCGACTATAAGATAATTCGTTCGTTGGGTCCAAAATGCCTTATCGAAGCTTATCCTTAACATGCATGCATGGCCTTCGTCACCAATGCTAGTTGTGTGCTCCACGTGTCTTTGCCATCAGCAGTCAAGTCTGGTTTATTGGCGTGTTGTTGCTGGAAGTAAGACGTGATCTGCAGAGTATCTGTTTTTTTTTTTTTTTAATATGATGTGTAATCGTTTGTCGATTTGAGAGGGTAAAAAAATGGGAACTGTTGGAATAAGTAGTGATATGCTCGATCCCATTTTGTGTTTAAGTGGCTGATGAGTTTGGGCTCATTCAGGGTATTGAGTTCAGTGTTGCTTCAGAAGTTTGTGTTAAAGAGTGGTCATAGATTTGTGGTATCAGAGTTGGTTTGATTAAGTGGTTATGTTGAGCATTTGAAGCTTTACGATTTTCAATATTAATGATTGATCGATCTAAGTAAAAGGTATAGTAGGCTTGTGCAATTTAAACATGTAAGTTATAACTCACGTTTGAAAGAATGTGTTAGTATAAGATTTATTACCTAAAATTCTCTTAATAACTCGAATCAGTGGGATCAAACAATTTAGGATAGATAGTTGATACGTTTTAGTGGAAAATTCTTAGCTCCAACCTTGGTTGGACGCAGAAGCTCCAACCAATCCATGTGTTAGTTTGTTATTGGTGGTGGTGGACTCACCTTCCTTTTTTCTTAATATTTAATATTCTTAATTATCCTAAATAAATCAAGAATTAAAATATAAAAAAGAAAGATAAACTCAACAATAGAAAACTGACATGTGGCTAGTTGGAGTTTTTGAGTTCAACCTAAGGTTGGAGCTAATAATTTTCCGGTTTTAGGGGTCAAAAACTCAAAATATGTTATTACTAATTTACTATCAAGACAACTGTTACGGGATGAAGAACAAGACCAGATTTAGTGTTGAGTGTTGATAGTAGGAAAAATGATCGTAGACTATGGCAGATTATTCTTTTATATATAAAAAAATATTTTTTTATGAAACTGATATGAGTATGGATGAGAGAGTCTAAAATTAAACTCGTCTCATTTCATAAAAAAAATCAGATTTAAACAATACTCATTCATACTCATAAATGCGAAGATCACCCACATTGATTGATTTGGAATGATTGGATATTCGTAATTGCGCGTTGAATTATCATCCCTACAAAAATAAAGCCTTTTCAGGCTGAAATGAATAAGAAGGGACGCCAGCCAATCAACAATCGACCAACGATAAGAGAGCATTCCTGCCACGATACGGGCAACTCTTTAATACCTATTCGACAAAGACTAAGCCATTAACTTAATTTACACCCTTTGCAGGGTGAAAGTCAAGGACTAAGCCTTTGTGGCTGTCAAATGACCGCAAAGCAGCATACCCTGCAAAATGCAAAACAAGCAAACACATAGCCTCTACAACCAGCCTGCAAACAATGCAGTATTTTCAAAGACAAGAGAAACGACAAAACATGTCGGAACAACATGAAAAAATAAGCATCACAATTAACCATGCATGGTAAAAATTGAAACCAAGCAAAATAGAGGGCCTGGTCCTACTCAAATGAAAACCTAGATGAGACGGTACCAAAGAAGCAGTAGAAGCCTAACAAATAATTAAAACAAAGGCTAATGACAATATCCCCACCCTATATCCCCTGTAAACGAATGAAAAAGGCAGAGAAAATTGCAAAAAGTGACGAAAGCGGTAAATGAAACGAAGAAGACAATAAAGCGGGAGCGATTATTGCCTACGCCGGGAGTACCACGTGTGAATGCTGATGTGGTGCTCCCGGCAAATAATTGTTCGCCACCTACTTTTAACGTTTATCACTCCTTTTTATATATTAAGAGCAATTAAAGGCTTTATCTTTTCTCTTCCCTCATCATTAAACCCCTTCTTTCTTTCCTTTTACCCAAAAAATGGCCTCTTTCTCTCCCGTAGTAGAGCAACCCAAGATTCAATCCCCTGTTCCTTCATTCTCTCAGCCGCCAAGAAGCCATCGACATGCAAATGGTCTCCTTTATTCGAATATCTTACTTTGGTTTCTAAGCAAGTTTTGTAAAGAAGAAGTGAAAAATCCATCTTTTTGAGATAGTGAAGAGAGAAGAATGAGCTTTCAATCAAGGAGGGAACATGATGCTGATCTTTGATGAATCAACTCGAAAACAACATGTTGTTTTAAAGCGCATCCAAGCATTAGGAGGATATGAAAGCGCTTTGCTGCTGTTGGAGGGCATCATTTCCGCCTGAGGAAATTTGAAACCCTTGGTTTCCTGTTCGAAAGACGACATCACCTGGTGATAATCCACTGATGCGGACACGGAAAGCCCCAAATGCACAGCGACCTGCCCCTCCTTTCTGGTCCGTTTCAGAGTGGCACTAATGACAGCGCCGCTGGTTCTGCGCTTCTTCACCATCATTGAAATAAGAATCAAACCTGCTTAATCTAGTGGCGGAACGCTTAGTAGCGAAAAGCTTCCCTCTGTGGAAAGCAACTGTACAGATAGTTGGGATGCTTCGGCATTTAAGTCATACCAAAATTTGGCGGTGGCGCCAATCTAAGTGGAGGGAGAGATCGGCTAAATCCGGCGGGAGATACCGGCTATTGCCTTAATGGCTGGTGATGTGAGCTATATAAAGCCGTCTCCGGAGAAGCGAATCCCGCCTCCCAAATCTAATCCCTTTTCCCAGATCGAAATCTTCTCCACTCTTCACGCCGCTGATCTCGAGTTCGTCCGCCATTGCTCCCAGAGATCCCAGCCAAGATTGCGCACCGATGAAGAACGGGCTGACCGCCGATCACCATTAATGTCCTTCCATCCGTTACCTTTGCTAATACATTTGGATTCAAGGCATTTAATGTCCCTGCCTGCTTTAATTGAGGAGGTCAGGGCTATATTCAAGCTTGTAAAGCGCTCCCTTAGGGACGCAAAGGGGTCGACTCTCGCCCCAATTTGCGAATTCAATTTGCAAAATTCAATTAATGGAGAGATTAACTCCATTAAAAACCCAGGAAACGGCTCCAAAAACGACCGGAAAATCAAAACCAATCCCTGGGTGCTGCAATTGAAACCCGAAATTCTAGCCCAAAGTTTCGCCCAGAAACTTTATTCGAACCGTCCCCCTTTCCTAAAAGTAGAAGGCCCTATAAAGAATTTCCAATTAGGCCAAACCTCCATCATCTTCGTGCCCAGCAAATTCCCCTGTTTCCATATAAGAAAAACAGAGCAATCTTGGAATTTCCCCTTCCAAACAATGGCAGGCCCAGTTGTGTTCAATGATGAAGTATTGGAAGCCGGCCAAAATAGAGCTCGCCTGAGCTTGATCGGGAGGCTGCGGTGCTCGTCCCACCCATCCAGAAATCGCGTTCAACATACCGTCAATAATCTGTGGGCAAAGAGAGCTCCAGTTACTGTCCTTGATGCAGACCATGGTCTATTCCAATTAGTCTTCTCAAACGCCACTGATCGCCAAGAAGCACTGGGGAAAGCTCCCTGGTTCCTCCACTCGAAGATCCTCACCTTAAAAAAGTGGGAAACGCCTTCTGAGCAAGTTTTTCAAGAGCTTGCACGCGTCCCCTACCTCGTCCAACTCTGGAATCTGCCTGAGGAATATAGAACTGTTGCGCTAGGCAGGCTCCTTGCCTCTCAATTGGGAACCGTCGTGGATGCCGGGATGTACGCGGTCTGGGAGAACCCAGGTTGTGTGTTCAAAGCAAGAGTGCTGATCGACGTATCATCCCCCTTGCAACATCGACTGGAAGCTAGGAAGAGGAACGCAGATGGCTCTATGGGTGAACCTTTCCGGGTGTCTCTCAAGTACGAAAACATCAAAACCATTTGTTTCAGGTGCCGTAGAATTGGGCACAACCAGAGCTTCTGTTCTTTTGATTTGGCAACAGGCGAGGATGGATTCGGACCTGAGATTATTGGGAACCGAACAGGTCTGAAATTGAATGAGAATTCTTATGCGACAGCTCGGAGAAGTGGAATAAATTGGGGCGGGAATGTGTGGCGCCATGGAGCTCGTGCCACACCTTACTCCCGATCCAATACGATGCTGATTGAGGCACCTTCTCGGTTCGGCAGAGAAAACTCGGATGGAAGGGGTCAGGGGACGCTGCCGCGGGACTTCTGACGGGAGAGAAATTGCACAGGCAGATCGTTGGGCCGCTTGGAGAAGGCGGATGGGCTGGGAGCCTCCTCGGTGCCGGAGAACATATTGGGCCAGCCTTTGATTGAGGCTGGTTGCAATAATAAAATGGTAACTGAGCCCAAGGATTCTAAAAAGCCCAACTTGCACAACCCTTGGTGTTAGAGCCCACACCTCTCCAAGTACAAGCTCCATCCCCATCATACGGGCTAGGTAACTTATATTGTAGTGAAGATCCCGGATTTTTATTTGACGATTTAGAGGATACTCTCTTATTTAGCATGCAAGGAGAAGGGATAGGCTTCTTTGATAATGAAGGAATGGATCAATCTGCAGATACAGCCATTTCATGCTCTCCAATAGGATGCGTCACGGATGGAAAGTCAAAGGGGAAAGCGATATTGATAGAATCGTCAGACTCCCCGAGAGTCTACATTCGGAGAAATATAAGAGTTTGTATCCAAGAGCCAGAAGAAGGAGTGGTCAATTCCCTTCCAAAGAGTCCAGGCGAGAATGACAAGGTTAAAGGGAAAAGGGTGGAGGTAGCCAACCCCAATTGGCCCCAAAATCCTAAATGAATGTCTACGCGTGGAATTGTCAAGGGGTGGGGAGTACCTTGACATTCCAAACGCTAAAAGCTCACCGAAATTTGGCTAAGTCATTTCTCTTTCTTTGTGAGACTATGTCTCCTAGTGATAAAGTAGAGTCTTTTATGTCTTAATTAGGTTTTTCTGATTGTTTTCCTGTTAATCCTTCCGGCTTGTCGGGGGGTCTAGTATTCGGTTGGCCAAGAGGAGCTTCGGTTTCAGTCATTGGCTCGACCCCTTTCTTTATTGCCATTTCGGTCATCAATAATAACTCCCTTTGTTATGGTGCTTGTCCTCGGTTCGTACTAGATTGTCAGACCCTTTCCTTATAATTGGAGATGTTAATTGCTCACTGTCCCCGTTAGAGAAATCAGGAGGGGCTCCGTGGCGAATGGACAAAGCTCGTTCCCTTTGGGATTTTCTCAATTCCATGGGGTTTCTAGAAGTAAGGTTTCAAGGACCCAAATTTACATGGACTAATCGGGGTAGAAACGTTATTTTAATAGAACAACAGATCGATAAAGCCTTTGTTTCTACGAATTGGTGGTATACTTGGCCTAATTCCTGCCTATACCATCTTTCTGATAAAGGATCTGATCACAGACTCTTGTGTCTTATGACAGTCCCAGAAATGTCAAGAGCCAAACGATTATTCCATTTTGACATAAGGTGGACCTGAATACACAAAACTAAACTCATCATTGACTATGTCTGGAATAAACCAATAACTGGGTCCTTACAATTTTGTTTGTTTTATAAATTACTCAGAGTCCGGCACGCGCTAGTAGATTGGTGCAAAGGAGGAACATCAAACTCAGGCAGATTAATAAAAGACCTCAATCTAGACCTTGATAATGCAAGAAAAAACATAGTAGTTGATTGGAAGCTAATTCAAGAACTGGAAGAAAGACTAGAATTCCAATAGAATGGAAGAAGTCTATTGGAGACAAAAGTCTCGAGTTAACTGGCTAACGGAAGGGGATCGCAACACGCCATATTTCCATATGATAATAGCAATTAGGCGGCAAGCCAACTTCATTTGGGGATTAGAGGATTCTAGTGGTCTTTGGTGCACGGATGGGGCTGCAAAACTGAACATAGCAGTAGGATTTTATCAATCCTTGTTTCAAACCCAACTCACTAAAGGCATTGATCTGTCTAACTTGCCGTTTGATGGTCTAGTTTCTGAAGAACAAAATCGGGCCCTCATTCATCCGATAACATCTGAAGAAATCAAAGAAGTGATCTTTGCTATGGGGAAAACTCAAGCACCTGGTCCAGATGGCTTTACAGCAGGGTTTTATCAAGCTTATTGGGATATAGTCGGCAATGAAGTCACCCAAGTTGTCTTAGCTTTCTTTCATTCTGGACACCTCCTTCGATCTATCAATAGAACATGGATTTCCCTTGTCCCAAAAACAGCAGAAGTTAGGTCCATGAAAAATCTCAGACCCATTAGTCTATGCCAAGTAATCTATAAGATCATAGCTAAGATCCTGTCCAATAGACTCAGTCGAGTCCTTCCAAGCATAATATCTCAGACTCAAATGGTTTCATAAAAGGATGTCAAATCTCAGACAGTATATTAATCAGTCATGAGGTAACCCACCATCTACGGACGATGACCACTGGGCGGAAAACTTGGATGGCTTTAAAATTGGATATGGAAAAGGCATACGATCGAGTGGAATGGCCGTTCCTTTTCAAAATAATGAAGGAATTGGGTTTTGACCAAAAGTTTATATCTTGGATCATCCTAAAGAAAATTGTCGGCGATTAAATAGTCACGTGGCTAGATTTTGGTGGGGTTCGGCAGATAATGCGGATCATCCAATCCATTGGGTTTCCTGGAAAGGATTAGCACACAGTAAATTTCTAGGTGGTCTAGGATTCAGGGATTTTGGTGCCTTTAATCAGGCTCTGCTAGCCAAACAATGTTGGAGGATCTGGAAGAATCCGGAGTCTCTTCTAGCATCAATTTATAAAGGTCACTATTTCCATCATGGGTCAATACTAGATGCTTCCATAGGTTCCAATCCCTCCTGGGGATGGCGTAGTATCTTGTTTGGAAGAGATCTCCTTCTCCAAGGTTTAAGGTGGCAAGTTGGAGATGGACAAGACATTGTAGCCTTCAAGGACAAGTGGGTTGTTTCAGAGAAACCCATTACTCCTTTGGTCCGCCTTTCGAATATAACAAACTCCCCAAGAGTCTCCTTCTTTATTAGGGGAAGTGGAGGAGAGTGGCATGTCCCAAGGCTTCACTACTGTTTTGATCCCATTACAGTTAATCTTATTCGCAAAACCCCTCTTCCTAGATGCCAACAAAAAGACACAAGAGTTTGGCACTTTACAAAAAATGGCTCCTATACAGTTAAAACGGGATACCACCTGGCTTTAGAAATTTCTCTAATCCCGAGTCGAAAACCCCTGGTGCAAATTATAGATCCCCCTATCTGGAAGAAAATTTGGGATATTCTGGTCCCTCCAAAATTAAAATTATTCATCTGGCAATGTCTAAGAGTGATTCTTCCAACTGCGGTAGCGCTTAAGTCTAGAGGGATTAATTGCCGTACCCGGTGCCCGGTTTGCTGGAGAAGTCCAGAAAGTATTGAACACCTGTTCTTCAGATGCCCCTTGGCCACCAGATTGTGGTCGCTTATGGGCCTAAATGACTTCATTGCCTCGGCCCCGACTGTGAATTTCAGTCTCTGGTGGCGACATGTTATGCTTTCTGAGCACCCCCAAACCCATGTTCTCCTATACGTTTGCGTATTGTGGAGAATCTGGAAGTCTCGAAATAAGGTGGTTTTTGAGTATTTGCAACCTCATGCCCAGTCTTTAGCTCGCCAGTGTTTTTTCCATGTCCGTGAAGTCTCTGCTTCTCTTCCTCTTGCGCCTGCCCCTCCCAGTCAACCTCCAAGTGCTCGTCTTCCCTCCTGGGTCCCTCCTCCTGATGATTTTTTGAAGATCAACTTTGATGCTGCGGTTCGTGTTTCCAGTTGTTCGTCTGGTCTAGTAGTTCGTAGAGCAGACGGGCATGTAGCTTTGGCAGTAGGGTTTCAGCACTTCGGCGTTTCTGATCCCTACCTCGCGGAACTTCTGGCTGCCAGAGACTCCATCTCCCTGTTGGTCTCCAAGTCACTCCCTCGTGTCATCATCGAAGGTGACTCAGAAGTGGTGGTTCGTCAGCTTCGTCAGGGTGCTTCTTCTGATTCCCTAGGAGGACTGGTGCTTCGGGATTGCTTCATTCTTCTTGCTTCTGTTTCTTTCTCCTTAGAATTTAGGGCAGTGCCTCGGACTGCTAACAGGGTTGCCCATAGAGTGGCGCAGAAAGCCCTACTTCTTTCTCCTCTTGAGTTGTGCTCTTTCGACTTTGTCGGTTGGCTTCATTGATGTAATAGGTTGGGAGGTGTGCTGGTAGTTTGTATAGTTCTCTCTTTTGACATTTCTTGGAAAAAAAATGGTCCCCAAATTCATAAAGCTAAAATCTGGGATCAAATGGAAAGCTAAATCGACATGCAAGTATATATATATTTATATATTTATTGTTCCTTCAGTTTGATGTTGTGAAGGAGTTCAAAAGAAGCTTGCACTTCAGCCGAATCTAAGAGACCCTGTTCCATCAATTTCTGTATTGGTGAAGGATAAAATGGCCGCCAAAAGCTTCATCAATGGCGGATTTTGGTGATGGTGGATTTGGGTTCGATATTGTGGCGGAGATACCGATTCGAGCGATCTCATGATGCTCGGGACTGGACCAAAGTTTTCCTACGATGGCTTTCGGCGGCTGAGAAGACGAAGGAACAAGGGATTCAGTCTCCGGTTGCTTGCCATGGGAAGGAGAAAGAGGATTTTTTTTTTTGTAACAGAAAAAGAAAGAACGAATTTAATAATGCGGGAGGAGAGAGGGCTTTAATTGCTGGCCTATTAGTAATTAAATACATAAACAGATGGCGACTTTTTATTTGCCGGGAGCACCACATCAGCATTCACACATGGTACTCCCGGTGTAGGCAATAATCTCTCATAAAGCGGGCCACCAACTTGAAAGTGGTAATATCCGATGAGCCTCTCAATAATAATAATAATAATAATAATAATAATAATAATAATAATAATAATAATAATAATAATAATATCCGATGAGCCTCTCAATAATAATAATAATAATATTATTATTATCTTATTGTTAAACTTTTTAGAGTCACATCAACTATAATTATTTTATTGTTAAACTTTTTATTAAATAAACAAATATTTTAATTCTCTTATAAACACATGATTTAATCTTATTACAACAACTAAACCCAAATTCATGTGTATTCAACCTAATTCGACCCTGCGGGGTTGTCGAATTTTAGGCCGGAAACGAGCAAACTTTTCACTATTCCTTAGAGTCACATCAACTAGAATTATTTTATTGTTAAACATTAATCCTCTTAAAGTTTAACAATAAACTTTTTTATTAAATAAACAAATGTTTTAATTCTTTATAAACAAATGTTTTAATCCTCTTACAACAATTAAACCCAAATTCATGTGTGTTGAACCAAATTCGACCCTACGGTGTTGTCAAATTTTAGGCCGAGAACGAATTTTACCTGCTTTTGTAATTAACGAAGTGGGTCATTAATCAAATGTTTTAAATATTTCCTCTTATGACAGTTGGACCCAAATTCATTTGTGTTCAACCTAATTCGACACGGTATCAGTGTTGCTGAATTTTTGGCCTAGAAAGAATTTTACCCGCTTTTGTAATTAACAAATTGGGTCGGTGTGGATTTTGTTAAAAACTCACCCCGCTTAATCGAGTTGAATCCAGTGTTGACGAATTTTGTGTCGAGAACGAGTTTTACCCTTGACACTTTTGGGGGCGTGAACGAATTTTATCCACTTATGTAATCATTGAATTGGGTTGAGAACGCATTTTACCTGCTTTTTCCGACCCGGCATCGGTGTTGAAGATTGTAGGTCAGGAACAAATTTTACCTGCTTTTCTAATTAACGAATTGGGTCGGGTGAAAATTTTGTTAAAAACTCTCCCAGCTTTATCGAGTTGAATCCAATGTTGACAAATTTTGGGTCGAGGACGAGTTTTACCTTTGACAATTTTGGGGGTGTGAATTAATTTTATGCACTTTTGTAATTATTGTATTGGGTTGACAACATATTTTACCCGCTTTTTCAGTTTAATTCAACCCAATCAAAGCGGGTTGAATTGGGTTGGCGTTTTTTGGGTCGGGAATGCATTTTATTTTTACCCCCTTTTGTAATTCGACCCGATATCGATGTTGTCGAATTTTAGTCCGACAATGAATTTTATCCGCTTTTATAATTAACGGATTGAATCGGTTGTGGCTTTTGTTAAAAAAAACTCGCCCCAATTTATCAAACCGGTCAAAGATAATTGAATCCAGTATTTACGAGTTTTGGGACAGTTCTTTTAACTCTTTAAAATATCACATTTGGGTTACTATTGGGTAGAATTACATCACAAAAGACCCTTTTGTAATTAACCAAACCTTTAAGGAACCAAAATATAAATATGTTTTCCTTCCACTTTTATTTCCATCCACACATTTTTACCACTCCTGTAATCCTCTCTCTCACCCACCCTCTCAAGTCTCACCCACCCATCAATCTTCATCTCTCCCTTTATTTTCCTTTTCTTCGGAAGACGAAGGAAGAGGAAGAAGTAGGAGAAGAAGAGAAGGAACGAATCAAGGAAAGCCCCGATGATCTCGACCTCTCCCAACTTGTGTTGTGGCCTTCTCTCTGCGATTCAGCTCGATCGCTGTCTCTTTCTCTCTCTATGATGCCAAATTTTCGACGATAAAGCAACAACCTTGCTAAGGAAGGAGGTTCGTTCGATTTCTGGTTAGCTAGGTTGTGAGTTTTCCTAAACACATCGATCTTATTTATCTACATCTTCTTTCTATCTAAGTTGATTTTTTTTGGGTTTCTCTTTTCTCTTCCTTAAGTAGAAGTACTTTCTCCTTCTATTTTTTTTTTCTGCAAACGACGAAGAGAAGGGAAGGCATGAATGACGACGATGGTGTGATTAGAAGGTCGGCAATGGGCGCCAGTGATGCTCCTGGCGACAGGTGAGAGTCTTTTAGCATATTGTATCTTTTGGGATTTTTGGTTTGGCTTGAATTCTCACTACTACTTATCTTTTATTTTTGGCATTTTCTATCAGGAAGAAGGAAGTGATTCCTCGGCCAACGACTAACATATGAAAGAATAAAATGGCCTCCCGCCAGAGCTGGGGCACCTATCAATGCCGACCAAGGTAAGTTGTTTTTGTGAATTTATTTCCTTCTCATTTTTGGTATGTTTGGATTTTTTATTTGTTGGTTCCTGCTACCCTAATAGGAATTTTCCTTTTTGGCCTTCGGGTTCGTGCAATAGGCATGATAGTGGAGTTAGCTGTTGCCGGTGTAGATTTCCGAAGGTAGTAGAGGTGACGAGGGTTGCCCACTGCTCTCTAGCACTCTCTAGGTAAGGGTTTTCTTTTTCTTTTTGGTCGTTGGTTATGTTTTTAGTCTGCGTCTTCAGTCTTCTTTATTTTGGGGATTTTCAGTCCTAGCCTTTTTGGTCTTTGCATACTTAATGGATTTGGTTCATTATTTGGTTGGCAGAGGGAAGAATATGAGAGTGTTGGTTTAGAAGAGAAGAAGAAGGCAAATAAATTACCTTTTGGAGGTTTTATTTCAAATTAACTATTTGATAGGTCCATGTTTGGTTCAATCATGTTTGTGGATGTTCTACCTTAACTAAATATCATCTTTGGGGTGTTGGTTTCATCCGTGTACAGGAAGTTCTCGCTATGATATGGAGAATGCAAAGAAGAAGACAATGAGTAAGCTGTAAGCAGCAGCGTAGAGTATGATTTTCCCCATCAAATCTCATGATTTAGTAGCGTTTTTTGCTAGTTATCACGGTGCTAACCCCTATAAGGGTTAACACCTAATTCCATCCCGCTGGCGATTGTCTTCGCCCTTCTAGTCGATGCCTCTCGTTCTAACAGAAGAGGGATTTTCTCTCCTGCTAATCGACTGCGGTTGGAGATCTAGATTGACCAGGGAGGTCTTCTCGAGCTTTTGAACCCAAATCGTCACCAATCTTTGCCTGTGTTTTGAGGAAGAGGAAGGGGATCCAAAGACAGGCACTGGGATTCCTCCCCTGTTTGTGCCGATTCGCTCCTTAACACCAAATTGAAGCTCGCCTCGCCACCGGATCGTGGGGCTTAGTTTTAGCCGAGAGAGGACAAATCGATTAGGGAACTCTACCCCGGATCGTCTTCTGAACTTTCGCCTCGAAAGGCGCCAACTTAGGAGGAAGACAAAGCGATTAAGCAGCCAATATGCTTATTGGGCTTGGGAAAGCCCATAATTTGATTTGAACCTCTGCAGCCCAAATCGTGCACGTTGTATGTATCTTCCTTTTACCTCCTCCCTACCTTCCCTATCTCTCTCGCCGCTTCCACGCTCCAAAAAAAGACACTCCAGCTCCCACTCCTCCCTCCGATTCGCAGGCTGCCGTCTCTATCCCGTCGTATTTGTTCGAAGTAAGATATCCGCTTTTCCTTTTCCTACCTATCTTATCTTAGATCATGAAATGGGTGTCGAATTCCAAGTGAGTGATTGATTCTTCACCGATTGTACTTCCATTGTCAGTTTTCCGGCGAATAAACTTCTCGTTATAGCTCCCATGCTCTTGCTTGAAAATTTCATCAGGCTGTTTATGGTGTTCCTGAGATGGAAACTATAGACAAAAGTTGAACTGTTAACTAGGGAAAAGATTGGTGCAATTTTGGACAAGATTGGATTGGTATTTGAGAATGTATTTGAAAGGAGGGACTTTGCTTTTGGGTACCCACTAATGAATTCAAACTCCTTTCTGCTTCGCAAATGCATCTAGAATGGAAAGTGATGACATAGTAGGAGGAGGAGATAAGCTAATACTAAGAGGTCTGAAGTTCCATGGGTTTCATGGGGTGAAGCAGGAAGAGAGGTCACTGGGGCAGAAGTTTCTGATCGATGTAGATGCCTGGATGGACCTCCGAGCAGCTGGAATCTCCGATCAGCTGACTGACACCATCAGCTACACTGATATCTACCGGTGAGAAATTTCTCGCCTATAGTCTTTTGTCATTCTGCTAGCATATATGACTTATAGTAATTTGCTACAAGCATTCATGCACGCGCCTAGTCTAATTCGTTTGTGTTGTGGACCGTGTGAGCAATGATGCCTATGGCAAGGGCCTGGGGCTCTGAACTATGCTCCTTAGCAATTGACTGCCACTAAAAGTGCTTTCTCTGTATGATGATAATGCAACAGCATTGTGAAAGAAGTTGTTGAAGGACCACCGCAGAATCTGCTGGAGTCTGTGGCTCAAAAGATTGCAACTAAAACTCTGACAAACTACCCTCGAATCTCTGCTGTGCGGGTGAAAGTCGGGAAGCCTCATGTTGCTGTACATGGACCTCTAGATTATCTGGGGGTCGAGATCCTCCGACGGCGTTGAGATGTGGATCTACCAAACGGTGATAACTTGTGTAACGTTGTGCGGGAAATTATCAATCCCCATCTACTACTTCGGGGTTTGTTTGCTGCACTTTTGTCTGTGCAGGAATATGCAGATAAAATGCTGTCAGTTTTTCAAGCATGCAACTTTGGTTCATGTGTGGGCGAAAGCCTTGTAGTCCAGTGAAACATCCGTGACAATGCTAAGATAGTACCCCAAATGGGTTGGATTCTGAGCCTTTATAACTCTCCTTTCTTTCATTCTAAGCTAGGTCTCAATTCTACCTCATGTTATTGAATGACAAATTGTGTTCATTTGATGTCTGTTGTATGACGAGGATGGATATCTTGCTCAACTCATTGGCTAGATTGTTGTAATTGTTTAGAACCCGCAAAGAAGAGTCATCCTAGTCCTACTATTTTTGCTTACTGGAACCATTTTGTTTGCCTGGATAGTTGTAATTGCTTATGGGCATAATTCAATAGTCAAAACCAACAATGACTAGAGACTCGTACTTTTCACCCAATTCTTCCTGTTAGTTCAATTCTTTTGTTAAAATTAGTATTATTAGGTCACTTACTGCTTGCTTAAACCGGTGATTTAATAGGGATGATCAGGATTTTTGTCAATTGAACTCCTATCAATTTGCTCTAGAGCTAAACGAGTGACTCAAGATTGATATGATTTTCGTCCTAAGTTACGCTAATGTTGCATTATTTGCAAGCAAGTAGTGGCTTTCCCCCTTATCTCTAAGAATTAACTGTTAATGATAACAATGCTAAGCTTAAGGAACAATAGATTTGAAGTGAACGATTATTGACGCTCTGCTTTAAGAAGTACGAGGCCACTTATGATCATATCCAAGATTGTAATGATTTATCAGTTGTAGTTCTACAAACATATTCTTTTGGTGTACGATCAATAATATTATTATCGGCTACACTAACTAGTATTTTCTCAAATAATCACATTGAGCGATAAATGATTGATGAGGATGTGTTTAGTGAATCACACTATCAATATGGGGAATTTGAACAAGTCAAGTATCAATGATGACGTGGACGAGCTCAGCTGACAAAAGTAGAAACCCCGCCAAAAGTTGCGAGGGCCCCGCATCCTCTTTCATCCAATGGAAAAAGAAAAAAAAATCCTAACAGAAAATTCCGCAAAACAGAGAGCGACGAAGAGCCCTACTCAGCCTCCAATAGTCCAATTCACTCTGCAGCTACTGCATTTTTAATTAATTCGATTACCACTCTGCTACCCATTTCTCTTCTGCAATTAATTGATCATCTTCACTTAAAACCCATTTAACTCTCAGTTCTGGGCAGCAAGAAATCACACTCTGTTTACAATTGAGCTCTTATAAGATTTTAAGTTTTTGAGCTACCCTCTGTTTCTCGAACACCGAAAGATGGGCTCTTTCTGATTCCGGGAATCGATTGCAGAAATGGGTAGCTTTTGATTTACTTATAATCACCCTGGGTGAAAATCGATCGGGCTCCCATTTGATTCGTCAATGGCGGACAGTAAAGGGGGCTGCTGGTATGGCTGGATGAAGAAGATCTTCACTTGCCACCTGGCCGAAAAGGTCCATTCTTTCCCTGCTCTGTTTCTTATATTCATAATGGCGTCATGAGAGGAGTGGCAAAGAGCAGAGACTGAATGATTTTTGTTTTGGTTTTCAGAAATTGAAGAGAGGGAAATGGAAATGGGTTCCACGGAGGCTGAGGCTGCTGGGGCAGAACCCAGTTATTCCGGCCCCAACCACACTGCTAACCGACGCCACAGAGCGTCAGAAGAACTACGCTCTCACCGTCGCCATGGCAGCAGCCGCCGCCGCAGAGGCGGCTGTTGCGGCCGCCAAAGCCGCTTCCGAGCTCGTCCGCCTCACCGCTCCCACCGCTCCTCACGGCAGTTCAGTTAAACGAGACCGGAATCGGGCTGCCATTCTGATCCAGAGTGTCTTCCGTGCCTACCTCGTAAGTTTCTTCATTAATTAATTAATTGGTTACAAGATTTTGAGGGTTTCGCATTGCAAATTTTGGAAAACTGGGGGTGATTAGGCTAGGAAAGCGTTGAGAGCATTGAGGGGAGTCGTGAAGCTTCAAGCCATTGTTCGCGGCGAGCTGTTTAGACGACGACAATCCGCCATCATCAACAAGCTCAAGCATTTGATACTACTAGACGATGGTGTTGATGATGACTGTAAATCCGCTCCCATAGATGAACAAGAAGAGAAGGACTTCAAGGTTTCTTGTTTTTGGCTCTTAACTTGATACTCAACAGTAAGTTCAGCTCCCGATGCAAGCACCTTTGAACTTCATGTGACACATTTGTTTGCTTTCTTGTTCGAATCTCGTAGCAGGGGAGGACCGATCACCAGCATTCTGAATCCACCGGCCACTCGGTAATGTTTTTCGAGGGTAATTGACAGTGTTATTAAAGCCGAGCCGAGCCGCTCGGCCCGACCGGTAAAACCGCCACCCGGTCATAAAACCGGCTCGAAACAGTCTAAAAGCTGCTCCGGTTTTATGTAGCGGTTGGCGAGAGGTCGAGGTGGTTAACCGTTCGAGCCGATTGAGCCGCTGGTCCGGTTTTTGCCATTCAGCCACTAAATTTAATTAAAAAAATTGCAGAAAATTGAAATAAACAAAAAACGTAGGGTTCTCAAATAGAATCCTTATTTCCATTTCACAATTTCGAATGAAAGAGATGAGCTCTGATTAATAAATGTCCACTATTTATACTGATAACGTTTATTAGGTACCGGTTCTCTAACGGTTTTTAAACGGTCTAATGCCGGTTGGACCACTAAAGTGCGAGCCGTTCGCATTACCGGGTCATGCTCCGGTTCGGTTATGACAACATTGGTAATTGACATAAATGTTCACACAACTTATCACTTTGTATAAAACGGTAACAAACCTTTAATTTTGCACGATTTAGTAATACATGTTTAAACTTATAACAAAACGATCATTTCCGTCAATCTCCATCCAAAACCCTAACAGAATGTTGATGTGGTTGATGACTCAACTTCCCAATCAGCAAAATATTAGTAAATATTGTTTCATAATTTATTTATATTGTTTTCCCGCCGGTAACCTCTTATTCCTCCGTTTTCTCCTTGCTTTCTCACCCGACGAGTGCTCTCAAAGCCGAGAAATCTATGGAAGATATTTGGGAGGGCATCAATTTGGGTTCCATCAAGCAACCGACGCACCCGCCAAGTTCACCCGATTCCACCGCCCGATCTTCTTTTGTCCTACACTTCGGAATCTTCTTTGCCGCTGAAGATTTGAACCTTGAACCCACCAGAACCCATTATCTGCATCCTCTACTTTCCCTTGTCTTTTCCAGCATCGACCCTAGTTCAATGATTGAAAACTCCAAGTCTCTCCTTTTGTTTCCCCCTTCCATTTGTGCCCCGATAGCGGCGTCGGAGAGCAGGGGAAGACAATGAATCTGAGTCTCCTTGTGTTATCGGATTTGGGTAGGCTTCTGCTGCCTGAGACATTGTAATCATGCTGGTGGAATTCGATCGGGTAGTCGCTTGTTTACTTGCGGAAACTCAAACAAAAGGAGCAAATGAGTCTTTTGGTAAGGACGAGATCAAAGGATTTGAGGAGATTAGAAGAATGGAAGGGATAATTTTTTTTGTTGTTGAATATGAAGGGATATTTAGTTTTCTTTACAAATTGAATTACTACAATAGTTCAAAATAATAGAAATAAATTATTAAACAATATTATATTAATATTTTGCTGATTGGGAAGTTGAGTCAGCAACCACATTAGCATTCTGTTCGGGTTTTGGATGGAAATTGACGGAAATGACCATTTTGTTATTAGTTTAAATATGTATTACCATATCGTGCAAATTAAAAATTTGTGACCGTTTTGTACAAAATGATAAGTTGTGTGACCATTTATGCTAACTGCCCTGTTTTTCGATCTAAAAGACACGAGAGTTTGTGATTTCATAAGTATACGTCTAAGGAAGAGCTAGAAGCTTAGATGCATTGACCATTGTAACAATAACTGTATGGGGCACAGCTTAGATGCAGCAGCCAGAGAAGTTGGGATTTCAGCAGGTTGTCCAAGGAAGAGCTAGATGCTGTATGGTTAAGGAAGCAAGAAGGTAGCATGAAGCGAGATAGGATGATGAGCTACTCCTTCTCCCACCAGGTACCTAGAAACTCGATCTCCTTCCTTTCTTTCATTTCACTACTCAACAAGATTGATCTGAGAATTTGGGGGATTGCACTTATTTGTGGGTTCAGGAAAGGATGAACTCACAGTTACTAGAGGAATTACTGATGGAGGAGAATGATCAGAGAAGCAATGACAGGCACTGGATGGAGAATCTGAGACTACTCCCCTTTTCAACTTCATTCAATAGCGAGACCGAATTCAGCTCGCTTACGAAAACCAGTAAGGACAGCAGCCACCACACTAGGGGGAGGAGCAGCTCAGTTGCACGAGATGACGACAACGACAGTGATGGGGAGAGTTCGAGGACGACGATCACAAGCTCGTCAGTTAATCTACCGATGTACATGGCAGCTACGGAGTCTGCGAGGGCTAGGGCGAGGTCGGTGAGCATGCCGAGGCAGAGAGTGGGGGTAGACAGAGAGGAAGGTAGCAGAGGTGGGATGACGAAGGTGCTTTGGTCTTCTGACAGTGGTGAACTGTTTGGAAAATCGTCTGCTAATAAAGAGATGGTGAACAGGAAATGTCATCACCGTGGATTCAGCCTTGCTTCTCGAGGTAAGAATGGGTGATGATTAATGGTGGGATGATACAAGAAATTTTGAAGAAGATTGGAACTCCTGAAGGAAGCAGAGGTCAAACTGGACCTGGTTTTGCCTGGAGAATGGAGGGTGTATAGATATGGAAGTTTTTTCTTTGGTTGGTTGGTCCATAATAATCATACCATATATTGGTTTAATTCATTATTTACAATATCACTATGTATCAGAGCTTTTGGTCATGTGGTATTTATATTAACTAGAACGGAATCACGCGCTACGCGTTGGCGCGTGAAATTATTGCAACTTGAATATTGATAAAACGACAAACTGCTAACATATTCTTTGTTCTTGAATTAAAAGTACAACACAACTTAAACATTAATATGAGGGATGCACGTAGAGAAGACAATTGGAACCCAAAAGACAAGATCGATGGATAGAGATAAATGTAGTATAAGTAGAAGCTGAGAGCCTAAACACCATATGGTGCATATGGCAAGGCCTCACGATCAAAAGTGAGTAAAGAGGTAACTAGTTTAGACTAACAACAGAGCAGTGGTTTAAAAGTTTGTGTGTGCTAGATTGTGGTGATGCGAATGTGTGGTACATCATAGTGTGGGCTCGCAATGTATATTTCTTACCATAAATCGTCTGCCGCATCGATCTCCGAGGCATTGCTTTTGTCGTTGTTGCAACAACGATTCAAACTCTTTAAGTGCCAGACAAACCAGGGCAAGATTTGCTTCATGGTTCATACTGACTTTTAATTTACGACATCCGGATTCACATTAAGCATGCAATTTGTTGAATAATCTGGTGTATATATATATACCAGATTATTCAACAAATTGCATGCTTAATGTGAATCTGGATGTCGTAAATTACTATATATATATAGGTGACTACTTCGGTGCACTCACAAAAATGAGTGCGTTCAATGCACCCAACTAAAAAACTACGCTTAAGGTGTCTGATTTTGAATTTCAATTTGTAGAATTAGTGTAATATGATGATACAACATATGATAACAACTAGCGGATTACCCTAAGCCCTAGACCTCCAATTTTGAGTTCTATCCCTAGACCCCAAATTATAAACCATAACCCTAACCCTAAATCTCTAAACTCTAAATCTTTCAAATTAAAGTAAATCTTCAATGATTTTTGTGCAAATTCATGTGCGTTATTGTTCATCACATCATAAGTGATGATTGACATCATTTTGACATAAATCGCATGTTTATAATGACGGTTATGAAGCGGGTGCACTGAATGCACCCAAAAAAGTGAGTGCACCGAAGACGCCACCATATATATGAGCAAACAAACTACAGTGTACACAACAATACAAAGTACATAGGTGAATAATGTCAACCGCAATTAGCTTCATTAGGGAAAATGAAAATCTAGTTTATAGGGATCAAAAGAACATATCGATGCAAAGTGCTTTAAAAAAACCTTCGTCTTTTTCCATGACCCGCCGGTGCCCTCTCATCAGCTGGTGATGTCGTCTTACCCTAGAAGCACTTGCTATAGAAAAGGGAGCTCAACGGACTCTCTCAGAAATGGCTTGATCCGAGTTGGGTTTGTGGATTAGAGGAAAGGAGAAAGAATAGAGGCAACTCACATAGAAAGTGACAATTTTGGACAATTTTTGACATTACTGGGTGACTCTAGGATCCATGGGTTCGGATGACCCGCCAATGGATCTGAATCATAGTAACCAATTGAAAACAACAGAAGAGGAAAATCAATATGCATCATTGGAGAAAATGAAAAATCTAGATATTATAGGCGACAAAAAAACATACCGATGCAAAACACAAAAATCCCTTCATTATCACTCTGCAGTGGGCAACTAATACAAATGTTGAAGCCATTCTAACAGTGGTGCTTCTCATCGAGACATCAAATACATGACCCTAGTTTCTAGCAAGTATTATTGATCAAAAATTCAAACGTAATTGCATTTTTTTCCTTAAATTTGTGGGAATAACGAAATAATCACCCGTTTTATGTGACTTTAAGTAACAGTACCGTTTTTTTCTTGTTCTTTTAATAAGAACCGACCCAAAACCCGTAAACACTGGATTCAATTCTCTTTGACCGGTTTGATAAAGTGGGGCGAGTATTTGACAAAATCCACACCCGATCCAGTCCGTTAATTACAAAAGCGGATAAAATTCATTCCCGGCCTAAAAATCGGCAACACCGATACCAGATAGAATTACAAAAGGGGGTAAAATTTATCCCCGGCCCAAATATCGTCAACAAAGGTACAATTCGCTTTGAACGGGTTGAATTGATTGAAAAATCGGGTAAAATGTGTTCTCGATCCAATTCAATGATTTCAAAAGTGGATAAAATTCATTCACGCCCCCAAAAGTGCCAAGGGTAAAACTCGTCCTCAACCCAAAAATCATAAACATTGGATTCAACTCGATATAGCGCGGAGAGTTTTTAATAAAATCCACACCCGACCCAATCTATTAATTACAAAAGCGGGTAAAATTGATTCTCGAGCTACAATTCTGAAACATCGATATCAGGATGGAAAAAACCTGTAAAATGCGTTCGACCCAATTCAATGATTACAAAAGTGGATAAAATTCATTCACGCCTAGTGTCAAGGGCAAAACTCGTACTCGACCCAAAATTTGTCAACACTAGATTCAACTCGATAAAGCGGGGTGACTTTTTAACAAAACCCACAACCAATCCAATTCGTTAATTACAAAAGCGGGTAAAATTCATTCCTGGAATAAAATTCGACAACACCGATACCGAGTTGAATTAGATTGAACACACATGAATTTGGGTTCAATTGTCATAAGAGGAAATTTTTAAAATATTTGATTAATGACCCAATTTGTTAATTACAAAAGTGACTAAAGTTCGTCACCGGCCTAAAATTTGGCAACACCGATATCAGGTTGGAAAAGGCGGGTATAATGCGTTCTCGACCCAATTCAATGTTTATAAAAGTGGATTAAATTTTTGGGTTCAATTGTCATAAGAGGAAATATTTAAAACATTTGATTAATGACCCAATTCGTTAATTAAAAAAGCGGGTAGAATTCATTCCCAGTCTAAAATTTGGCAACATTATACCAGGTTGGAAAAGGCGGGTACAATGCGTTCTCGACCCAATTCAATGATTACAAAATTGGATATAATTCATCCATAACCCTAAAATTCATTCCCGACCTAAAATTCGGCAACACTGATACTGGGTTGGAAAATACGGGTATAATGCGTTCTCGACCCAATTCAATGATTATAGAAGTGGATAAATTTTTTGTGTTCAATTGTCATAAGAGGAAATATTTAAAACATTCGATTAATGGTCCAATTCATTAATTACAAAAGCGAGTATAATTCGTTCCCGGTCTAAAATCTGGCAACACGAATACCGGTTGGAAAAGACGGGTATAATGTGTTCTTGACCCAACTCAATGATTACAAAAGTGGATAAAATTTATTCATAACCCTAAAACTCTCATTCAATTATTACAAAAGTGAATAAAATTCATTCATAACCCTAAATCCTAAAAGTCCCTAAACTCATTTTTGTCGCAAAATTGCACACCCAACCTAATCGTTGACACCGAGTTCAACTCGTTGAACAAAATAAAAGGAAATAAAATTAAAACTTGTTCCTATCCCAAAAAATACCAGGTTCAAACGGTGTTGAATTAGTTTGAATCCATTTGAAAAGAAAATAAATTAGTGTAGTGAAAATTACAATTACCCAAAAAGTCCCTGAACTTATGGTTAATTACAAAGAGTCGCATGTTAAGATGAACAAAATTACAAAAGTGTCCCTCCTTGGATGTGACTCTAAGGAATAGTAAAAAATTGCTTGTTCCTTTAAGGGTAAATTGCAAGGTTGGTCACTGAGATTACTAAAATCGTTCATGTTTGGTCACCAAAAACATTTAATTCTATTCATGGTCATTAAAATTAATAAAGCAGTCAAAATTTGGTCACTATCTATTAGTTTTCGTCCATTTCCCTTAATACTGTCAGTTAATTGCTGACGTGACTAATGTAAATGCTGATTCATCATATTTTAACGTGCCACGTCATAAAATTTGACCCACCATGTCATCAAAGCCCGCCACATTTGTTTTTTCAAACCCAAACCCAACCAGTGACTCGACCCTAAACCCAACGACTGCCTCCCCAGCTTCTCTCCCCTTCAATCTTCCGATCGCTCCCCTTTCCCTCATTCTGCGTGGATCGATGATGTTGGATGCGAGTGGCGGTGGGCGGCTGTGATGGCGATGAAGAGTGGCGGCAGGAAGGAGGCTGGGCGACGATGACGCAGCGGTAGGAGGTCATCGATGGACCAAAAATTTTCAAGTGCTGGGATTCATCTATCTGTCGGAGAAGAAATATGAACCGCCATTCCTTCTCGCTGCAAATCAAAGATCCCATACAAAATATTAAAAATAAATTGCGATCCCTAAAAACCCAGAGGAACCGCTATCCCTCGATGGCGATGGTGTTCTCGACACTGGTGCCTCGCACTCTTTTTCCTCGTCCTCACCACCGGCAGAGAATTATCAGTGACGAGTTGGAAATAGCGATTCCGAACTAGTTCTCGATCGAGGATTATGGGGGACTGCTTCTATTTGTCGGGTCGACCCCTAGGATGCGAGTGAATCGGGAGTTGGAGGAACTGGCGAGAAGTCGAGCATGAGGGCCGGAGCTGCGGGAATTGATCAACGGGATTCCTCTCCCAATCGGACATGCAACAACAGATTGCGTTGAGGACCACTTGTTCAATCGCGATCAATATTTTGCCCTTCCTCTCTCTCACTTTCAAGGGACGCAATCTTCTGGTTTGAAGGTTATGACTTTTCTATTTCTTTGCTTGCTTTTCTCGGGTTTGATTATAGACAAATAGAATTGAACGCAGAGAGGGGGATTCTTTGAATAATTGGGACCCGAATTAATTGAGGGATCAGCTCACTAGTCACTCTTCCTCCTTCTCTGCTCTGCGATCTCGTCTTCAAATTCTCATCCCGATTTCCTCCAACTCGCCCGAACCCACTCACCCTCTCCAGCTCAATCGAAACCGGTGGAGGTTACACTGTTGGGATGAATAGCTTTGAAAAGCTATAAATGAAATTCCAAATTAATTATCCAGTATTTTCCCATAATACATAAATAAGATGGATAATTAATAAAAGGAATATTATGGAGATAATTAGGAATAATTATCTTAATAGATTATATTTTAATTATGGGAGTAATTATCTCCCTAATGAAAATATGACTTATTCCCAAAGAAAGAGGGAATATTCTGAGTTTTCTGCTCCTATAAATAGGAGACGCCCCAGACCCTCTAAAGACACCTCAGAAGAGCAGAAACACGAGAGAGAGTGAATTCATAGAGCTCCAGTTTTCCGCACAAAACCGCTGAGCAAATCAATAGAGTGGCTGTTTTATCCTGGAGGCGACCGGCTGATAGTCTGCTGTGCGAATAACGAGGCAGTGCCGCGAACGTCTTAAAGAGAGCGACCTAGTCCGCGACTCAGCCAGATCGGTAACCCTAATTTTTCTTGTTCGATTTCTAACAATTTTAAGACGTTTTGGTTGCTGTCATATTTACCGAACATGTATTATCATATCTGGTTTTAACACGTCTCGATCCCACGAGCCATCCGCTGAAATGAAGCCATTGTCGCTCTCGAATTGCAAAATTACGACCAGAAAAGAAACAGAAGTTGACTCGCGCATCAAAAATTGTTGTTCCGTTCCATTTTGTTTATTTATTTATTTATTCTCTACAGGGGAATGGAGATTGGAGACGGCCAGACGGAGTCGCGGCCCTGTTCGCTGCTTCCTGTTTTGACGACTCGTTGGGTTGCAACTCCGAAGTCTTGCAGCACAAACCAAAGTCGACCTACTCTAGTTGTCTGGGCTGGCGGTGGCTACTCTGGGATTGCGCAATTCTTCTTCGACGAATGGCGGAGGAGGAGGTGTCGTTGCTCGTCAAGCTGCCTCAGCCGAGATCTCGAGCGGCGAGGTCTAGGCTCCGATTGCAGTCGTGGCGACGAGTACCGGCGGCGTCCGGACCTTCGCGACGATGACGCTGGGGAAGCAGCCGCATATGGCATCCGACGGCGGGATGAACGAGTTCCGGCAATCTATGATGATGACGATGTTGTAGCACCGCAAAGAAGTTCCTGGATCGGTCGACGAAAACTCAACCTACCGCCAGTAGTCTCTCGGATGTGCCTCCGCAAATTAAGGGCAAAAGCAGTCAATTGAAGAGGTGGCGTGGACAAGAAAGGCGGAAGTAGGTATCTGGCCAATTGTTCACTCAGTTGGGCCGGGTCATAACAAGCCCAGTTCGAAGTTCAGTCTAAAGAAAATGCTACTAGATTGAACAGAAGGGGCCTCGCAACATACTTGAGTCCTCACTCCTCAGTCATCTAGGGTCTGGTTTTGATAAGTCTAAGCCTGAAGCTTAATAGAAATAATTTAAGTGGGCTAACTCTCCGACTAAAGCCCATGAAAAATACAGAGTGTCCAACAAAGCTATTGAGTAATTAACTATGGGGTGGCACTTGAATTGTGGAAAGTCAGTGGAGGCCTCTCTTACACTCATGAAGTTGTTCCCAATTGGACAAAGAGATCGAAAGCAACATGGAAGCTCTGCGTACCAGCTATTTGCGGCTAGTTCAGAAGGGAAGGACTTCTTGAAATGAGGTAAAGAAAAGAAAAAAAAATCCTTACTTTCCACTTGAGTCATTAATAAATGACAAATTAGAATCTATGTCATATGAATATATGCATGGAGTTGAGAATATGTGTGAATGCTGACATGAATATTAGGACTGATGCATGATAATATATTGAGAATCGGTGTTAATACATGAATGCATACTTTGAAGCATATATGAGTTTATATGCTAGTGGAATGGGTTGTAAGCCCATATTCAGTTTTGGAAGGAGTACTGTTTGTTAGTACTAAGCGAGTCATTGTAGCGAGTTTGAACCTAAAAGGTTCAAGAATCATAATAGAAAAATGAACCATCTAAACCAATTAAAATGATACCATTCGTGGTAACTAAAAGATCATCGTCCAATCCTCTAAGAATGACGCTTTATTTCTCTGTAATAGTTGCGAGAAATTACGTCATATGACACGAAAGTGTAGGAACAAGTATAACACTGATTCTAGTGTTAACTTGATTGAAGAGAAGGATTGGTGGCTGTGATGATTGACAAAAGAGCAGAGATTAACCATGCTGGTAACTCTGAAGAATGGTGGCTAAATACTGGTATCTTGAAGCATACTAAGACATATGCTATTAAGAAAGTGTTGTTGAGTATTGCTCACTCCACTATTGATCATGGTCATGAGAGTATGCATATGATGATAAAGTTAAAGTGTTGAATTCTTATAGTTCTTGCATGCACGTCTTTGACGTATATCTTAGAGGAATTGAATAGCTAGGGTCACATTCTCATAATGGTTGTGATAAATATGAATTACATAGCTAAGCTAATAGACCCATAAATATGATCTAACACATTAGATATGGGCAAACGTGATGAAATGCTTATTTGGAATGGCTTGAAATGCTTTATCGCATTATTATTGATTGCTCTGGTTAATTGTATGTTTATTTGATGTGATGCTTTTGAAATTCTAATGGTAGAATTAAAGAATAAGAGCAATATGATTACTAGTAGAGCACATGAATGTGTTTTAATTGGATAAGTGATAATAAAACACATAAACTTATGAAATGAAATACTCATTGGAATCCAATAATGCCAAGAGACTTCCATTTAAATTAAGAAATAGTGGGGGTAATATCCCGCAGGCTATTAGAAATAATGGATAACTAGTGGGGGTGATGAATCTAGGTTTGAACTCAGAAGAGACAAATGAAGCATAAATCATTGAAGGATTTTGGTTATGAATTTGTTATTTACACCCTAAGAAGACATCCTACAATTCTACTAGAAGTTCGAACTTCCATACAGATGTAGATTTGTGGGAGAATCCATTATTAACGAAATGGAATTATTGGAGTCTAATAAAACTTAAAATCTTGAAGAGTACCTCTTGGCTGTAAAGCCTTGGGTAATATATCGATAGAATCGAACAAGATTTGGCATCTTTGAGAATTACCTCTTGACAATGAAGTCATGGGTAATAAATGGATTCTTAAAATAAAAGTGAAACCTATTGGTTTAGTTTATGAGTATAAGGATCGCCTAATAGCTAAGGCTTTAAACAAAAAGGAAAAAATTGTAAATTTTCTTGTTATCTATTCACCATATGTAGAATAACATCCATGTATGTTCTGATTGCTAGTGTTGTGCGTCAGATGGATTGTTAAACATGAATGGAGATTTAGATAGGAAAATCTACATTGGACAACCTATAGGGTTGTTATTCCTGAACATGCTTAGGGAGTCTATAGTTAGACAAGTCATTGTAAGATTTGAAATAGACTCTAAGACGATGGCATGAATAAACTGGTTCTCTCTCATGGTTTTAAAAGTGAAAGTGACAAGTGTATTTAGTACAAAATTGAGAATGACACTTGCATTATGAATGACACGTCGATCTTTGGGACAAAGACTCGTGATGTCAATATTGAAAAACCATGATGGTTGAGAAATTTGAATGTGAAGGATTTGAATGAAACAAATGTTATGCTTAGATATCCTAATAACTAGGAAAATACAAGATGTACACCTGCATACATGTTTGATGATGCTCGTATAAATATTTAAAGAAGTAAACGGCCCTGGCTCAATCAACTAAGAAATCAGAAATGATAGAGCTAGCAATGGCTAGTAAAGAGAAAAGTTGATTGAGAGGGTCATTACTAGAGATTCCCTTATGGGAAAGACCAATCCCTCCGGTAGTTGATTCATTGTGATAGCACCGCAGCTATTACTAAAGAAGGGAACCGGTTCTAGAACGAAAAGAGACAACAAATTGGTCGTAAGCACAGTACTGTAAGAGAACTCCTAACGATAGGAGCAATGAGGGTGGATCTTGTAAGGTCCTAACAGAATCTAGTTGATCCTTTGACGAAAGGATTATCTAGAGAGAAAGTCCAAAATACCACGAAGGGTATGAGACTTATGCCTACCGAACCATGGATTACAAGTGATGGTAGCCCGACCCGATAGACTGGAGATCCCAAGAAACGGGTTCAATGGGTAATGACAAGTCATGAGTAATATTGAGAAAAGTTCATGCATAGTGAAGCATGAATCCCAAAGCCTTGGAGGTTGAGTTAAACTCTTAATGAGATCTATACTCTATGTGGAGTGAAGTACTTTACTTTGGGGGTACTTCTGATAGACTCACCTATGTGAATGTGGGAGTGGGGCCGCTCCCTATGGAACTTTGGAGGCACAATGTTGCTAGAGCGTTCACTAAACCAAGATAACGTGCATGGCCATAAACGCACGGCCGATGAGAGAATATCACTCAATGAAAAGATCCGGTGTGCTACATTGTCTGAGATAGGGTTCAAGACTACGAGTCACCCTTATGAAATCAGAAGTGTAACCACTACGCTAAGGTTCAAATCTTCGCGATACCTTAGCTTATGCCCGATCTTATGGAACTGTTGATGCTTAGAGATAGTTTCAAAACTATTCAAGTGGGGGATTGTTGGGATGAATAGCTTTGAAAAGCTATAAATGAAATTCCTAATTAATTATCTAGTATTTTTCCATAATACATAAATAAGATGGATAATTAATAAAAGGAATATTATGGAGATAATTAGGAATAATTATCTTAATAGATTATATTTTAATTATGGGAGTAATTATCTTCCTAATTAAAATATGACTTATTCCCAAAGAAAGAGGGAATATTCTGGGTTTTCTGCTCCTATAAATAGGAGACGCCCCAGACCCTCTAAAGACACCTCAGAAGAGCAGAAACACGAGAGAGAGTGAATTCATAGAGCTCCAGTTGCACAAAACCACTGAGCAAATCAAAAGAGTGGCTGTTTTATCCTGGAGGCGACCGACTGATAGTCTGTTGTGCGAATAACGAGGCAGTGCCGCGAACGTCTTAAAGAGAGCGACCTAGTCCGCGAGTCAGCCAGATCGGTAACCCTAATTTTTCCTGTTCTATTTCTAACAATCAACAACGACAACAGGGGAAGCTTAAAAGAAAGTTGTCGGTGATGGTGGTAGCCTCAAAAGTTTCGCCGACGTTTGTGAAGAACATTTCCGTGGACCGCGTTTCCTCGTCCGAAGACTCGTCGTCTTCACCGGCGCTGGAGGAGAGAGGATAAGTATAACAGAGAGAAGAAGAGGGTTAAGTTGGGTTCTCGGTTGGGTTGGGTCACGAGCAGAGGAGGAGAGGTGCTGGGTAGAGAGAGAACCAGGTAGAAATTATTTTAGGCTGGGTTGGTCAAGAAGGGTTGGGTATGGGTTGGGTGGATTATCTCGTGTGGCTTGTATTAATGACGTGGCAGGTCAATATAGGCTGATTAGTCTATTATGTTAGCCACGTCAGCCACAAACTAACGTCGTTAATAAAGACTAACGGAAGTTAACGGAGCGTGACCAAATTTGGACTGTTTTATTAATTCTAATGACTATGAATGAAATTAAATATTTTTGGTGATCAAACATGAACGTTTTTAGTAATCTCAGTGACCAATCTTGCAATTTACCTGTTCTTTTAATATAGTAATTTCTGAGTGGGCAGGCTAATTACTGATTATGCAGATTGAATAGGAACATAGGAATATCATAAGAGTAGAATGATAACATTTTATTGTCTGAAAGGATGTTTTTTAGATGAAATGTAAGTGTTGAAATTGCACGATAAATATGGAAGTTAGTTTTTTTAGGTAAAAGGTAATGAAATTGATCAAACTCGATGTTGATTCGTAGACTATGATTCCATCGTGTATGAACTAACAATCCATCATAATCACATTTCAGTTCTTAAAATAAATACCAAATAAAAATGTAAAATACCTCCACCAACTAATATAAAGAGATTCTGTAGGGATTACCACAAAAAAAAAAAAAAAATTCTGTAGGAAGAGTGGGTTCAAACTGAATTAGGAGGCCTTACCGCATTTCACGAAAGGCTACATAAGTCTTTTTTCTACATTATATATTACCTCTGCTCTGCTACGTGAGTTCAGACTTTTCAAAGTTACATAGGCATTTGGGTTGGGCTTCCAAGTTTTTTTTTGTGGGGAGAATTGGGTAGTTTTTAGGATTGGGTTGTGGTATATTTCTAATTATCTTTTTCACTTCGAAATTCTAATCCGGCCGAAGCCTAAATCATCTTCTTTCCAACACATAGTATAACAATAAGAATGAATAATTTGAGTCTTAAACTAATGTGGTTTCTGATTCTGACTCAAGTCATAATTGCTTAAGAATTTTACTTGGGTCCATAAATGGGAGATATTTAGTCTTATATTGGATTAAATGATTGACAATTTTTCATCAAAATTTTGATAAAACACGACTAAATTCTATTGAGGCATCGGAAAATATAAATATAGAATACATGATATAGAATCTATAATCTAGAGAAATAGCCAAGGATTAACAACTCATTAAGAACTAACTACCTTGGAGAAGGAGAAAAGTCATAAAACTCGCAAACCGCATGCATTGTGAGTAATAAATCACAATCATAAATTTGTGGATAGTGAGTTGGATGTGATTAGCAACATCTCGACTTTTGTGGTTAGTAGTTAATCATCACTAATAACAACAATTAATCCATAAAATCAACTATAACCACATTAGTCTAACAATTTTTTGTATTATCTTTAAGTCTACCATGCTCATTGATAATATTTATAATATAAAGAGTAAGGACTAATTTCGTAAAAAAAACTCATTTTCAACGTGAAAAAATATAGCATGTGTCGTGTGGGATTAGAAAATGTTATTTAAACTTAGCAAGCATTTTATCATTGAATTTAAGCTTCTAATAAAGAAAGAGCTTATAGATGGTGGAGGTAGTGGAACCGGTAATATAGATACTGATGCTATTTAAAAGATGCAAGAGACTATCAAGTGTCAACAGTGAGTCAGTGAAGGTAACAGGGTCGATGATGGGGATTATTACAATTTTGTGAAGAAAAAAAGTATATTGATGGGCTAGATAGTGTAGTAGGTGATGGAGATGATGACGTTATTATTGGTGAAAATGATGACGCGGGTGACGATGATGCAATAACAAAGGAATCTAAAATGAAATTTGTTGTAATTATTTATGTGTGATTTGGGCATGTTTGGAGGTTGTGACTGTCTAAATTGATTGGTTCAATGAATTGGTGTATTGTAATTATATGTATTGTGGAAATTAAAGTATTTCTCAAATACATTGTTTGGTATCTATGATTCTACTTTATTATAAATTAAAAAGCAACACACCTTTTTGAAGAAAAATACACATTTACCCTTCAAAGTTTTGTTCTTGCAAATGAAAGAAGAAGAAAAAAAACAAAGAATCATCGGCGTCTCGTCGCTACCACGTTGTTGCCGCTAGGATTGCAGAAACTTCAAAGTTTCCCCGATTTCAAAAATCAACTCCAGCCATCACAATTAATTACTTTTGCTTATATCCCTCCCAACTCAAACCCTAAGAGATATGAAGAGAAAAAGAGAGGAGATGACATGGTGCTGGGTTTGTGAGGTAGTAATTCGCAACAAAAGCCGAGTTCAATGATTTTTCTTTTGGTGGACTTCCGACGACTGTCGTCAAGGGAGGAGTATGGAAGTTTTCTCCCTTTTTTGGCTTTCCTAGAATTTTGATGACAAGGATAGAAGAGTAGTGGAGGATGAGTTTATTGTTGGTATAAAGAAAAGATAGCAGGGACAAAAATGGAATAAAAAGATATGACACAATCCTTTGTTTAGAATCTCAACTTTAGGTAGAGATTCACAATAATTCATTTTGAGGGATTGTGAGTAGGCCCCCAAAAAAGGTAATGCATGTATTCTTTTACAAATTTGACCAAAAAACGACTTAATCTTCTCAATGCATGTATTGGTTATATATTTAGGAGTTGGTTCCCTTGAATAGGGTTAATTTTTTTCCCCTTTTGTCGATGAATTAGCGAGGACGGTGAAAACTCTAATTTATGTTCATTTTCAATTTTTCCAGGAACTGAATTCTTTTATGGAATAAATAAAAACTTATTTTGTTTTGTAATATCTATTGTTATATCTTTTTATGTCTTTTAGCTCAAATCGAGTGTAGTATAATAGTTATTGTTTTTTAATACATTGGATCAATGGGCGGTCTCAAATTTAGTTCCTATAGTAAACCTTTAACCCTTACGACAGATATAATAATCAAATTTAGGGACGGGATACGGTGACAACCCCTAAGGGGTTGTTAGATTCACAACCAAGGGTATTTTGGGTATGAAAAAAAGGAATATATTAATTACCTTTTTTATATTAATTATATTGGGAATTAAAAACTCATATTAAATACAATTTTTTTCTGAAATTTAAATCCTATACATTAATATCTCTATCTATCTCTCTCTCTCTCTTCCTTTCTCGAGCAGCCACTCCGCATCGACCGGCAAACTTTTTCTCCGGCGAATTCTCTCCGGCGGACTCCCTCCGGCAACCTGAAAAAATGTATCAATGCGTTAAAAAGTGTACCAATCTATTAGTCTACTGGAAATTAATATACCAGTGCTAGTGGTACGCTACCAGTACGTTAAAAAATGTACCAGTACTAGCGCTACCAGTAAAAAATGTACCAGTACTAGTGGTACGCTACCAGTACAACGCTACCGGTAGAGGATAACACAACGCTACTAGCACTGGTAGCGCTACCACTAGAGAATAACAAAAAAAAAAAAAAACAGATGATAGTGGTACCAGATGATAGGGGAGCCACTGGTATTGGTACCAGTGGGTAGTGGTAGCGTACCAATGGCGCTACCAGTGGTATTGGTACTAGGAATGACAATGGGGCAGGTCCGGGGCGGGTTTCTTGGTACCCAGACCCGCCCCTTGGCAGGTCGGGTAATTTATCACGGGTCACGGGTCGGGGCAGGTCGACCCAATGGGTATGCAATTTATATGAAAAATATTAGAAATATTCGTTGTTTTTATTATAAGACCAAGGAAACAAACAATATTATGAGAAATATAGTTAAATTATTGGAGAAATTGAGGTTTTCACTAATTTACGTCTTTATTATAGCTAAGATTTGATGTAATAAAAGAGAAATCCTAAGTAATTTGACTAAAATTACGTGTAATTTAGGCAAGAACGGGTCGAGAATGTGGCGGGTCAGGACAGGTCGGGTCGATGAGAGTACCCATGCCCGCCCCGCCTACGGGGCGGGTCGGACCCGCCCCAAAACAGGTCAACAGGTCGGGTAAACGGGTCAGGTCAAAATTGCCATCCCTAATTGGTACCAATAGTGCTTCCAGTGGTATTGGTACCAGTAGAGACTATCAGATCTGGAAAAAAATAGGGACGAGGAAAGAGGGAGGCAGGGAAGAGTCTTGACCTCGCGGTGGCGGCGGCATAAAAATGGTGGCGGGGGAGGACAGCGGCGCGGCAGGGGGGAGCGGCGGGGACAGCAGGCGCGGTGGTGGGAGGGCTGTGGCGGCGGAGAGAGGGGGAGGAGAGACGGTGATGTCTACGAGAGAGAGGGAGGAGAGAGAGAGGGAGGATGGAGGAGTTAGGGTTTTTGTTCTTTTTATATGGTAGGGTCAATGATTGGGTATGATAAAATTTTACCCTTCCAAAAATATCCTTCTTTTAATCTTAACCGTTAATTTAAAAAAAGAAAAAAGAGACAGGAGAGAGAGCGTATCCAAGGGCTATGAAGTGGGTTGTGAATCTGACAACCCCTAAGGGGGTTGTCACCGTATCTCGTCCATCAAATTTATCTATAACGATTGTCCGATAAATATAACAATTTTTTTTTAAGAATATCTAACACCATCAGAAATCTTATTCACGTCGTTAACCCTAAAGTGAGGTGGACATAAAATCCACAATGGCACGGCACATATTTGCGACGCCCTATTAAATATTTTAAAAAATAACCGAATAAATAGCAAAATTGAACCGAAACTTGCGGATAAAGCTTTCTCCAAGAGATCCTTCCCTTATATATTCTTTAGATATTGCCCTCCGGCCGCCGGCGCCTGAGAGAAGGGAACAACCGTATTTGAAAGTTCGAAACCAACTTCTCTCACCGCCGCCCAAGGTCTTGCAGGCCATTCATCTACGCAGAAGGCGAAGTTCAGTTTTCCATGGAAGCTGAAAGCAGCAGCAGCAGCAGCAGCAACAGTAATTCTGACGCCTCCGAATTCGAAAAGAAGCATCGATGGAGAGCGGAAGACGCAATAGCTGGGAATCCTTCTGCATTGGAAGCTCTCAGAGAGCTCATTGTGTTTCCCTTGCTCTACTCTCGTGAAGCCCGAAAGCTCGGCCTTAAGGTAAACCAAGAAAATTTCCAGTCTTTATTATGTGCTTCTTTGCTTGTTTACAATTCCAGCTGATTAATCATGATTTTGGATGAACAGTGGCCGACGGGGCTGCTTCTGTACGGTCCTCCTGGAACTGGAAAGGTAGCCTTCTGCTAAATGTCTGTAATTTTGCACCATATTATGGGAACCTCTAATTGTGCATTCTCTCTTGTTTGCTATCAAATGCTACTAGACGAGTCTTGTTCGTGCAGTGATTCAGGAATCTGGTGCCCATCTGGTTGTAATTAGGTACTATTTGTTTACCCTTCTGTCACATTGCTTTGATTGATGGATACTATAGTTCTGAGGTTACACTTTTTTGGTGTGTTCTGTAGTCCATATTCTGTTCGCAGACCACATGCCGGGGAAAGTGAGAGGATTCTGAGAGAGGCTTTTGCAGATGCATCCTCACATTTGGGAGCAGGCAAGCCGTCAGTCGTGTTTATAGACGAAATCGATGCGATCTGCCCTCGTCGTGATTCTGGGTAAGCTAAGAAAGGATGATGCTACATGAAGTTTCATCTCTCAGTTTTTTACTCTTTTCACAGTCCTTATGTGGGTTTGCTGTGACATGATTCTGTATCCAAAGTTCTGTCCTTTCTTAACTATTGTCCTTCTATAGTATTTTTCGGGAGGATCCAGTTATGGTCTGAATCAGGTAGTTCAGCAGAAGGTGTGTTCTGGCTGAGGAAATCCATGTGCTTAGCTCTGCACTATCTATCAGGAAAATGAGGGCATTTTTTTTAGTTAACCTTCTCCCATATTCTCGGAGCTGCTATTAGCAGCACCTTTACTAATTTCTCGTAGCTTGCAAGAATATCAGTTACAGTTATAGCCTAAGGTGTGAATGTTAGTCCTATTCACCATGAAATATTTCACTGGAGCATAAGCTTGCTTGGCAAAATCATTTATGAGTCTGTATTTGATTTATTGCAAAATGGTACTTCTCTTTGTGTGGTTATGCAAGTGAGCGTTAATTGCAGGAGAGAGCAAGATATTCGTTTAACCTCTCAACTCTGCACGCTAATGGATGCCATCAAGCCCTCTTCTACCTCTTCAGGGCATGTGGTCGTGGTTGCATGCACTAACAGGTTACTAGCTTGTTGCATGTTGATAGTTGCTATCAAATAAATCGATCAAGAACTTATCAACCCGAGTTCTGTAGTATCTCACTGTTGAAATCTGAGTCCAATCTGTTGTTTGCTTTTGCTAAAAAGAGTTGATGCATTGGACCCTGCACTCAGACGATATGAACGGTTCAATAGTGAAGTAGAAGTAACGGCTCCTACAGGAGAGGAACGCTTAGAAATCCTCAAGGTATAGAAAAACAAATCCATTTGTCTAGTGAAAATTTATCACATTCATGGTTTCCTGCTACTCATTGTAAACCACAGTTGCACATGCAATGAGTAGTGACATGTGGCAAAGACGGTTCATTATTTTTCTCCCCTCTTGTAACCAGCTCTACACAAAGAAGCTAGTGTTGGATGATGACGTTGATTTGCAAGCTGTTGCTGCTTCTTGTAATGGATTCGTTGGGGCTGACTTGGAAGCATTGTGCCGTGAAGCTGCCATGTCAGCTATTAAGTCGGCCAAAGCAAGTGGAGATGGTGGGGTTCTTTGCTTAACGGCAGAAGACTGTCGAAAGGCGAGGTCCATTGTTGGTCCTAGCTTAACAAGAGGCGTGACAGTCGAAGTCCCAGATGTGTCCTGGGACGATATTGGTGGACTAAAGGATTTGAAGGTCTGGTAATAACTCTGTTACTTTCGGAATTATCTGAACTTGCAAAGACATAATATCTCAAAATATTATGAAAAAGCTGGATGCATCTATCGAGGTACATGTTGAACTCTTTCTGATGTCTACATATGGCCATTGTAATTTTCAGAAAAGACTTGAGCAAGCTGTTGAATGGCCGATCAAGCACCAGTCTGCATTTAGAAGAATGGGAATCTCTCCCATACGTGGGATTCTTTTGCATGGACCTCCTGGGGTTTCCAAAACCACTATTGCTAAAACTGTAGCTAATGCTGCTCAGGCTTCTTTTTTCTCCTTGATGTAAGAGCATCTCTAAGTCGCCAATTGAAGTTGTCTCGGTTCTGCAGAACTCAATTTCTGAAGTTACACAACTTTGTACTCAGTTCTGCAGATTGTTTTAACAAGTATGTTGGAGAGGGGGAAGCATTGTTGCGCAACACATTCCAAAGAGCTCGTGTAGCAGCTCCCAGCATAATCTTCTTCGATGAAATCGACGTTCTGGCTGGTAAACGGTATGCACATTTTCAGTTTTGGTAGAGGTCCAATCCCATCATAGTGGTCTCCGAAGTTACATTATGTCAGTGTAGTATGGTTGACTTTTATCTTTTCTGGACAAATTATTCCAGAGGTGACAGTTCAAGCAACTCATCCGCTGCAGGGGAGAGGCTTCTATCGACTCTACTGACTGAAATGGACGGTCTGCAAGAAATAAAAGTAAGTCATAATGACATTAAAGCTTCGACTTTACCATGCTAAGGACATGGAAGCCTGATGTTACCATATGTTCTCCGTCACTCGTTTAATTTATTATGCTATCAGGGCGTCCTTGTATTGGCGGCCACCAATCGTCCACATGCAATAGATGCTGCACTGATGCGCCCTGGACGCTTTGATCTGGTACGTGTCTCAACAACATGAGTGACTTGATTTGCTGATCCTCCATTTTCATAAATTGAGTGTAAAAATTAGGGCCTTGTCTGTGTTCCGTGACTAGGTCTTGTATGTGCCACCATCTGATAAGAAGGGTCGACTCGAGATCCTCAACGTTCTTACACGAAACATCAGCATCGACGATGATGTCGACCTCGAAACCATAGCAGAGAACACCGAGCTCTTCACGGGTGCTGAACTAGAGGGTCTATGTCGAGAAGCTGGGATGGTAGCTCTTCGCGAAGATATATCCGCAACTGTTGTCTGCAATCGTCACTTTCAGAAGGCGTTGAGTTCCTTAGCACCAGCTCTCACAAAAGCTGAGGCAGAGGAGTATTCGTCCTTCCTGAAGACTCAGCGTGTACCCTTTTAGCCTCTTTTGTCCGAGATAAAACATTGGTACGAAGATTAGGTTAGCGTAATTTATGGCATTGGTTTGTGTTGATGAATCTCAGCAGGTGATGGGAATTCCTCTTTGCTCTTTCTATTTTTCATACCAAACCTATAGAACAGTTTTACAGAATACAACAGGGGAAACGAGCACCATAACCATTTTCACAACTCTACAAAGCTACTGATGATGGCAATGGCGGTGGTCAGGCCAATCGCGCCAAGGACGACATGCAGCCCATCCCCAAGAGGAGAGAAACGTTAGCTCCAAGCTGCAACCGCAGGTTCCCCTGCAGCTTGGGGTTCATGAAATCCTGTGCCAGCAAGTCCACTAGTGCCATGTATATCAATATCCCGGCGGAAGCCGAGTTCAAGATCCCGCTGACCAGAAGCGCGGCCTGGCTGTCCTCGCTGTAGCCCCTCGAGATGCAGATTCCCACCACTATCCCGATCGGAGTCGTCAGGGAGAAGAAGAGCATCATTGTTGCCGCCACTCGGAACTTGAACTTTGCCTGCACTTTCCCAAAGATATAATAATAAAGGAACGACGCAGATCGATTGTTCAGGGAATCATCATTAATATTGAAATGAATGAAGGTTGTGGAGAGAGAATCGTGTTCGACATGGGAGGTGGTGATGGGTTTGATTTGATTTACCTGTGAGATGCATCCACCGAGGCCCAGCCCTTCGAAGAATTGGTGGAAAGTGAGTGCGGCCACCAGTGGCTTGATCGTCCTCGTGCTCCCCGACGCGCCTAGCGATACCCCAATTATAACCGAGTGAACCACTATCCCCATCTCCAGAACCTGCATTGCCCAACCCACCACCTTAACCATATCATAATTAGCTGGAAAATGTCGTCGTCGTGCAATGTACGTGGATGGGGAAGGAGATCATTTCAGCTGGTCGGATACATCTCGTGAATCTCTCTTTTATCGGTTAGTAACTGAAACCAAGATCAAAGTCTTTCTGTCGTTATTATGTTAGCCGACTAACCGAATTTTTTCATACGGTTTTTCGGTTACTTGATCGAGTAACCGGTGGTAACCGAATATCACCCCTAAATTATATATAGTCAAAATACTATGATGGAAGTGTATCTATCGTGTAAAAAGTGTGCACTTTTTTGTATCATTTGTAAAAGTTCGTTGTTGTGATAGGTGGTCTGACAATACTGAAGGGGATGGCAGATGCGCCAGATTCTGCAAGTGGGATCCCCTTTTATGTGCTTAAAATTGTTTTGAAAGAGACAATTCCAGAAAAAAAAAAAAACAGTAATTTTGCTTTAAAAAATGAGGAAAAAGGAAACAATTTCAACATTGCATAGAAGTCGAAGCATTTTGGAAATACAGAAATAGATATGCCGGCCAAATTAATTCAATAGAATAACAATAATATGGGGAAAATAATATCCTTTTGTTCTTATTTCCTAATACTGCTCGAATTTTGACCGATTGATTGGATTTAGAGCGGCCCAAACATGACCAAATAATTGTATACCCAACTACCCCTACAATTATAATCTTGTTCCAAAACCAAGAAACAGAGACATAGATCGGACATTTGGACCAAAGAGTCGTGCTAACATCGTGGAAGCTATACCGGAAAAAATTAGTAATAGAGTATTTTATACTAAAATTGTAAAACCGTCCATCGATTTGGATTCGGTATTTGATATGTACGTTTCGACCGGGTAGGGTTTCGTAAACATTCAGTAAAATGCCAACTAATCAGACCTAAACCGAATACTTTTACCGGCTCAACAGAGGGCATTCGATCGAGTTCGAAACATAAACCAAACCGGACCGAAATCACACCCAATTCAATTCAATTAGGCAGGCCTAAAGGGCAGGAAGGATTATATTTAGGAACATAGGGTAGTCACCTGAGAAACAATCCGGTGCCGGAAATGATGGGAGTCCTCGGAATCCTCCGGGCCAAAAGCAGAGCCATGCGCGTGTCCATGAGTCGCGTGGGTGTGAACATGAACATGCCCCTCGTGCTCCGCCGCTACCCCTTCCAATTCCCCACTGCTGTCAGTCCCACCACCACCGCTCCCCACCACCACCACCGGCAGCGCCTTGTTCGTATTCCTGAAATGAGACCGCTTGTAATAGCTCGTCGCGAACGTATCAATCATCATCGTCATCACCGCCGCCACCATGGCGAAAAGCCCGGGGAACGGGAACCTCGCCCAAGGGTTCTCCCTCACGCAGGGGCTCGACAGGCTCGCGAAGGCGTCGGGGAGAATATGGACGAATCCGGTCGCCAGAATTACCCCCGCCGCAAAGGCCTTGATGAGGAAGAAGAGGTTGTTCTCCGGATGCAGAGCCGGGAACTTCTTCCCTGCGATCGGGATCGTCACTCCGATCCCGCCCGCCGCCAGAATCGAGCAAATCGCCACGATTTTGTAGACGAGCGGCTTGTTCCCGTCCGGGTGGCCGTCGCTGTCGCTGTCGCCGCCGCGGCTGGTGCCTCGATCGCATGTGCATTCCGATGAGACCTGGTGCGGAAATTGGAAGATAAGGGGTGTTAAGAAGAGGAGGAGGAGGAGAGTGAAATTTGGAAAATTAGTCGCCATGGGAGAAAGATTGAGAAAGCAGAGGAGGAGTCGGAAACAGAGTCGGGGCAGAGCAGGGTTTATAAATGGGTCTGGAAGTGGGGAGGAGGAGAGGCGGCTTTTGGACTGTTGTCTGTGTGACAGTGAGAGTTAGAGAAGGAGGAGGCAGAGAAAGTGAAAAATGAGGTTAAATTTTTTTTTTTTTTTTTATATATATATAGTTTAATTTTTGTTTTCAATTTGATAGGTAAGGCGGAAAGGGAGGGAGAGAAGTCAGAAGAGAATGAGGTGAGAATGTCGACATGCATTTCCATGCAAAGGAGGTTTGGGGCTGGCGTGGCACTGAAAGCCAGGGTGCTTTAGTAGCAGGATGAACACATCTTGTGCTAATTATGCATGAACTCTCTCTCAATTCTATACAATTAATTCTATTCAATCACTCAACCATACAAAACCAAACTTCTTTCACTTGCGGGAAAAAAATAATAGACTACAACAAAGGAAAACCCCACCCAGATATTGAAAGGGTAAACAAATTAATAGAGTGACGAAGGATGTATGTAGTTTAGTTATCCCTCGTTTTCAAATTAGAGAGGTTCCCATATTTGAATTTTATGGATTTTTTTTTTCTTCGAATCAGATTATGGAAGTTTTTCTATCTCCTTGTTACTATTTCAATTTTAGTAGTATGTAATATCTCTTTATTATGAGAGGTCCTCATATGTTCTTGCCTGATGTGTGGTGTTTGTTGTAGGTAATGGTCTCTCTCCATAATAGATAGGGGATGTCTGCTTCACGCTACTTGAACTTATATTTAGATTAAATCGAATGTATATTTGAATCAGGCTTCGTTTTCGTGAACTGTCTCGAGTATTAAGAAAGACCTACTCGAAGTTCAATTTGGATTGAACCGAATCGAATCAAACCAAATGTGCTTTTGGCCTGGTTCTTATCCTCATTTTTCCTTCACATTTGGTTTGACGCAATTTTTAAATTCGCCATGCCCAACCACATACATAAATATTTCATTGAACTTTGATTTGTGTTTTTTTTAATGAATCGTAATTGGGATCTATTCATTAAAGGAGTGTTACTACTTACTAGCAGCAACCTTGCTAGTTAGGCAAGTATCCCTAATGATTATATGTCAAAACATACTATAGCCTATTACAAAGCCAACAGAGACTACTAAATAATAGGCTTTGAATACATTAGTATTATTGAAAGCGAGTAACAAACAACGCCTTAGTAAAATCGTCTGCAAGTTGTGAAACTGTGGGAACATAGCGAACGATGAGTTGTTGAGCCTGGATGAGCTGACGAACAAAGTGGTAACGAAGAGCAAGATGCTTCACTCGGGAGTGAAAGACGAGATTAGAACTGAAGTTGATGACTCCCAGATTATGAAGAGAACTGGCGCAGAAGGAAGCGGTTGATGCAACTAGACAGAAGGTGCGCCCACTGAACTTCGGAGGTAGCTAACGCAATGGCCCGGTACTTTACCTTTGTACTGGATCAAGCAAGTGTATGCTGCTTTTTAGACTTCCAGGAAATGAGTGTGTCACCTAGATAGAGAAAAATTCAGAGGTAGATGTCCAATCATCAGAGTCTCCGACCCAATCGGAGTCAGAAAACACACGTAGCTGCAGCGGAGTGGATTCCTGTGGAATGCGAAAACCAACAGATTTAGTACCGGTCAGATAGCGAAAAAGATGCTTCACATACTACCAATGCAGAGAAGTAGTAGAATGCATAAATTGAGACAACCGATTAACATCTGAGAAGATATTGGAGAGCTCACAAAGCTTGACGATATAGGGAACCATCAGCTGGGGCGGAACCATCATTCTGACAAAGCCTTGTCGTTGACAGTAGAGGAGTGGAGGTGGACTTCGCCTCATGCATTTGAAACCAAAGAAAAAAATCAACTATGTACTTGTGCTGAGAGAGTAAGAAGCTAGTTGAGGTAGGTATGATCTCAACACCAAGAAAAAAGTTGACATCGCCCACACTTTTGAGAGAGAAGCGGGGTCGGGAGCACTAAAAGAAAAACATGGTTTAGAGTCGGTTATTTTATGTGTTTAGTGTCGGTTATAATCGACACTAATTTTTTTTGTGTCACTTCATTTAACCGACACAATTCCTGTTGACATTAATCCAATTCGTGTCGGTTTTGGGCAACCGCTGGAGTAATCGACTCTATTCTTTTACGAGTAAAAAACGTTTTTACAATTATATTATTTTTTTGTCTGTCAAAATAACCGACTCCAAATTATAATTTTTTCCCAAAAAAAATCCCAGCTCTCCATTGACCGGTTGAACCAAAATGCCGCCATGGGCCAGCCAAAATTTCCCCTCGCCGCCAATTTGCGAGTCTAGGATAAAACTGGCTAATTCAAGAACAACATTGATGCCAAAGGGCTCGTGACCTAGGGTATTCCCTTTAGAGTATTCGGAGAGAGGCTAGTCCTCGAAAATGCCCGGTAGAAAAGTTGGGGGTTCATAATAAATACTACTATATATGATAATTCACAGTGTTTAGCCCCGGGTTCATTCCTAATTCATGAACCCAGTAGCAAACCCCTTTATCTACATAAAGAAACAATCGACCAAACACACAAAAATCAACTGAAGATCTGTCTTGTCCCATCGAGCAAGTCGTCGGCCAGAAATTCCCTACGCTGCCTCTTCGCCCAAATCGTGGTCGGTGTCCCCTCCTCTGAGTTGAGACAAATTAGATCGACACTCATTTCCTAGTACCCTGTTCTGTTCGAGTTGAGACAAGGCAAATCGACGCTGCCACGTCGCCTAGATTGGTCTTCCCTTCGCACAGATAGACGTCGGTGACTCTTCGCCAGACCAAGCTTATCGCCGGCCTAGTCTTCCCTTTTGCCCAAATCGTGATTTCTCTCTATTATCTGAACAAGCGAGCCCAAAACCAAACCCAGAAACATCCTCTTTCACACCCTAACCTTCCCATTAGAACCCAACAAAACCTGCAATAATAAGAGGAAGAGTGGAAGGCACCACACAACCCAAATCGAGTTGCGGATGTCGAAGTTTGGGGAGAGGTGTTTTGACGGACGACGATTGTTAAGAGCCTAGGGATGAGGAGAAGGAAGAAGAGGACAAGTTCATTGTCAGTAGCACTGGCGAGGTTGACAGTTCACTAGGTCGAATTTACAACCATGGCGAGGAGGGAAGATGGATCTTCGGCGGTGATGATTCATGAAAGGGTGTGGGTTGCAGAATGGCCTGAGGGAAGAGAAGAAGGGGGAAAAGGAGGTGGATTTGATCTTCTTAGGGCTAACTTTGATGGGGGGAAGTTCTAATATGGGCGATCCTCATAAAAAAATTGGACAAAGGAGGAAATTTGGGCGGTCAAAACACATTAGAAATTTGGTGAAAATTCAAAACTACCAAAAATTATGTTGGTTAAAGTAAAAACCGACACAAATTCGTTGTGCGTTGGTTCACTATAATCGACCCAAAATCACAAAAAAATTATGTCGGGTCCACATACATCAAGAAGTAAGCTAGGAGCGGCCCAAGATGATACACAAAGAGGGAAGAATTAGATTTTGACGAAGCCACAAGTCTCAAGAAAGGAACTAAGTAACTCATACCAAGCACGTTGGGCCTGCCATAGACCGTAGATAGCCGGACGAAGTCTACATACATGACAAGGAAATTGTGGGTCATGGAATCCAGGAGGTTGCGACATGTAGACTTCTTCTTTGAGGGGTCCTTGCAGGAACGCATTATTGACGTCGAACTGAGAGACAAACAAGCCATGAGAAAGAGCAACAGTAAAAACTATGCGTACCGTGACTGGTTTAAGAACAAGGCTGAATATATCATAAAAATCAACACTGGGGCGCTGATGGAAGCCTTTAGCAACCAGACGAACTTTGAATTGCTCGATAGAGCCATCAAGAAGATGGGTGACACACCACACCCACCGATTGCCAACAATATTCATATCAGGTCATCGGGGAACAAGATCTCAGGTATGATTTGCTTGAAGCGCATCATTTTCAGCATGAAGAGCTTGGAGCCACTCTTCATAACGCAACTCCTCCTTGACTGAAGTTGGTTGAAGGGGAGGAGAGACCTGCGATGAAGTGGTAGCTCCACGGAATTTAGTGTTAGGTTTAAAAATACAATGTTGAGCACGTGTGGTCATGCGATGCCTTGGAGGTGGTGGCGGCAATGACGGGGGTGTCTACTACTGAGATTTTGTTGTGGACAAAGGAGTTGTGAGCTCAGAAGGCGGCGCTGTGTGACCAGGATTAGTTGCTTGCGTGATGGTGGGCTGAACTGATGGTAGACGAGTGACTGGAGGAAGAAATGCAGTCAGCTAGGAGTCCAAAGAAGTTGCTACAGGGGGTGAAGTAGAAGGAGATACACTAGGAAATTCGCACTCCACAAATACAACATGACGAGAAAGAAACAGACGTTGAGACACAGGATCTAACCACCTATGGGAACTTTGTTGATGAGAATACCCAAGAAAAACAGAAGGACGAGACCTAGGATGAAGTTTAGACGTACTATAAGGACGAAACCAAGGGTAGCAAAGACACCCAAAAGCACGGAGCTTAGTGTAGTTGGGTGGTTCATTAAAAAGAACAGTGAAGGGAACTCGACCTTTAATACAAGAGGATGGTAAGCAATTGATAAGATAGAAAACAATTGTAAAAGCATAAGACCAATAGGACAAAGGTAAATTGTCCTAATGAAGAAGAGTGATACTCGTTTCAACAAGATGTCGATGTTTCCGTTGTGCAAGACCGTTATGCTCGGGAGTGTATGGAAGAGTAAAAAAATGAGTGATGCAATGATTGGCTAACTCGAGCTTGAGTTTATAAAAGTCTCCCCCACCATCCGTGTATAAGCGACGAATAGTAGTGGAAAAAAAAATCCTACTAGACGACGAAAGTCAAGAAAGACAGCAAGAACATCTAACGTACGTCGAATAGGATAAATCCATGTATAAAGAGTAAAGTTATCGATAAGAACGAGGTAATAACAATATAAATCAACAAAAGGGACAGTGGCAGGACTCCATACATCCGAATAAAGTAAATCAAATGGCCGAGAACTCGAAAGAGAAGAATCTCCAAAGGGTAACTTACGACTCTTATTAGACAAACACGATGAACAATGAGACAACACAAAGGACTTTAAACGAGGAATTAAATAAACACGAAAGAGATGGGGCATAGATTTTGATGACGGATGACCCAAACAACGATGCCAGGAGTTAGGAGTGACACGAGTAGTGACCAACACCAACCGAACAGTTCTAGAATCGCCAGGCAGCTCATATGTACCAATCACTCTTGTTCCTTCCGGTCAGTAGCGACGCCCCCGTTCTTAGATCCTTCACAACAAAATAGTTTGCAAAGAATTTAACATAGACAGGATTAGTACGACACAACTTATCAACCGAAATTAGGCATTTGAGAAGTGCAGGAAGCCAGGAACGCAAAGAACGTCACAAAGATTAAGAGTAGAGGTTGAAGAAGAGATAGTAGACACTACAAAAAAAAGGAGGCTATGACAAGGGTTTTTTGAACCTATACCAAGGGTTTTAACCCCTGCTACAAGTTGTAGCAAGGGTTTACCCAACCCTTGCACCAACCCTTGGCAAAGCTGCCCCTGCTAGACGTAGCAAGGGTTTTGAGTAACCCTTGGTGGAAGTCCCATGCAGGGGTTGTAGCAAGGGTTTAAACCCTTGCTACACTTCAATGTAAAATACAACGAGAAAATATTCATAGCATGGGGTTGTAACCCTTGATAAGTGAGTCGCTAAACATAGTGTAGCTAAAATGAAAATTTGCTCGTAGCAAGGGTTAAAACCCTTGCTTAATTCGTCACTAAAGGTCAATGAATGTTTTGCTTCGCATCCAAAGTCGTCACTAAAGTTTTATTCTTAAGAAAGGTGTTTCATTAGTAACGACACTCTGGTTACAAATGATGTAATTCTGGTCATTATATGATTGTAAAATCATCATTGTTTACAAATGCACCGTCACTAAAAGAGAGGCGCCTCATTAGAAATAACACTTTCGTTACAAATATGATATTCTGGTCACTATTCAAATATTCTGATATTAACTGATGGTCCTATTTTCTAACAACAACCAGCTCAACATTCTGGTCATAAAGAGAGGATCATACATAAAACTGAAAGGCTGATTACTTTGTAACTATGAAACCTCAAAGAGGATAAGGAACCTACAAATAAGGATTATAGCCTGTGAAGATATCTGCAGAAACTGAGAAGCTTCCGGGCACCTTGGACTGGGATATGCTACAAAGAGACATAAATATTCATTATTCAATTTGTTTGGTTACAAATAAAAGTGCAGGATAAAAGCAATTATATAATTGAATTGCCACTGAATACTGCTAAACTGAATTGCCATTGAATCTCAGAGCAATAGACGCTCAACTTCAAGCCACCACACATCCATGATAATCTGAAATGTCATACACTCTAGACTACTATAATAACAGCATAAAACCATGCATTTCTTTGTCACAACTTGCAACACAAACCAAGAAGTGTAGCTTCAACCACTAAATGTAAAGTAATGATAAGTACGAGAACCTAGAGAGCAATTGGCCAATAATACAAGCACCATAATACTGGAACTTGGAAGGCTTTTATTTGGAAACGAGTTATTTAGAAAATTCATTTCCTATCATCTCATAAAATTAGATATACTCAAAGAAATCTAAGTAGGTTCAAGAGTCAGACTTACTTGATTACACGAAAAAGAGGACTCCCTTAAGTAGCGCTACTCTCATGGGAATGCCCATGCTCTTCTCGGAGCTCGTCGATTCCAATGTACCCCATATTCTGCAATCCAAACCTGCATAAAACAAGAAAATTCACTTTAAAGGCACTTGAAAATACAGTTATGCTGAATTAACAACTAATTCTTATGTACCGACTGTATTTTCCATGTGTCAGGAGAGGAATATCTCAAGCATCATCATCTAACACTCAGTAGGCACAAGTATGTTGATTATATTTTAAAAAAAAAAGGTTTGCACAGAGCCACAACAAGGAAGACCAAAATAATTTCAGTCAAGTGGAGTCTGCTATTAACTGGAATAACATAGAGGAACACACATACAAACATGATTAGGATCTTGCGTTGACCAAAAACGGAAAGATATCGTCTTTTTAATTAGCTAGCATAGTAAAAACAGAACCGGAAGCCATTAACCAAAGCATAAACAAAATTGAAAGCAAGATTTGGCAGTAGAGACCGTCAGCATCCAGTCCCGTGACCATAGACATAGATTTGTAGGTTGAAAAAACAGAGTAGGAAAAAAGCAGGGCAGAGAGACAGGAGAGTGGATTTACCGAGGAAAGAAGGAGAAGAAGACGAAGGCAGGAAGAACGATTCAAGCGGCTGAGAAGCGCCACCTCGATGGGTTTGAAGCAGGACAATACCCAAACTGCACACGCCGCCATGGTGTTTCTGAAAGTCATTAGCCGGACAGTATAACAACCATTCCCAGGATAATTTTTTTGACATAATCAAACACTGCTACTTGTATTGATTCTCTACCAAAACCTTACTTTTTCTTGTCCCAACTTGACAGTGAAAGATTGGATTATGAAGTCCTTGTGTCCATCCAGGTCAGGTATGTCCTGCAATGTAACAAAATGAAAAGTATTGCACCAGAAGTTAACTTACATATAACTAGCGACAAAGCAAACCCATTTGGGAAGTTTATTTCTGTTAAGGGATTTGTTTGGACCTTGAAGAGTGCAATGACAGCTGAGAAGAAGCACGTGAAAGCAGTGGCAAACACAAGGTCATGGTAATGGCTACTGGTTTCCCAAGCACGATTTTTTGCACATATTTGTACAGATTTCCTTCTTATTACTGTAAGGATATGTGTTATAAGACATGGAAAAACCAGGAACTAAGAGAATAAGTGTACCGGCATGTGTCTAAAGAAAGCTAATTGGACAACGACTGCCCTCACGATCAAGATGCGTCTGAAGAAAGCTAATTGGACAACGACTGCTCTCACGATCAAGATGCAACTGGCTGCCAGAAATGCAGGCCTCTTCCATCTCATAAACGGAAGCTATATGTAACACTAAACTTAAATGATTAAGCTTTCAACTAAACCTTGTTCATATAATAATGAAGCAAAGGGTTAATGCAAAAGTAAGCTTACTTCAACAGAGTATGCACTCCCAAGAAGAAAGCTAATGAGCAAGGAGTAGGGGACTGAAATTTCACCCCATGTGTAAAGGCTCTGCATCCCAATTTCACCACATGTTAACCAGTACGAATCGTCAAATGAAATGGAATTAGCAGTCACTTTCTGTGATTAAAGACGCAGCAACAATTGTAACCCCAGTTGCCATTGAGAACTCACCAGAAGCCAATGGCAGAGTGGGTTTGTTTACTTGCCTCAAGAACAATAGACCTGTCATCAGAACTCCCTAAAATGTTCACATTCTACATTTCTACTACTCGATCCAGCATGATACATATTAAGAACAGCAAGAGCTTGAGTTATTTCTCACCTCCCCTGTGCACCATCAGGAATCCTCCCCAGGTCACCGACAGCCTTGCCTTCCACCTGCACAGCTTATCACGTTCACAATAGTTACACATCTCAAAAGTTACCCCAACAAATAATCTTGATAGAAATTGTGCCTTTGGATATCGAAAACAGAGACATTGCCACAAATGATAAAACCATAAATAAAAACCAGTTACAAGGATACAAAGGAAATAATCACACCTACCCCAAATCATGAGCAACTAACGGACTCTTCTCCTGTGTATAACTCCGTATGTAAACCATTCCACTGCACACAAAGCGGAAATTGAAGCAATTGGGCTATCGATTCCTATGTCTCCTCCATCACCACCTCCACTCTCCTTCCTTCCTCTTCCCGCCGCCGACATCCCTCCTCCGCTCAACACCGTCGCTGCAAATCAATCCTAATCACATCACTCCTCTTCACCATCGATAACCTCACTACTGCATGCAGCCGGCGGCGGCGACCGCACTACAAACCCTAAGAAACCTAATCGGAGCTCACTCACGCAAGAGAAGGAGAGCGCAAGCGAGGGAAGCAGAGAGCGAGCGAGCGAAGAAGAGAGGGAGGGAGCGAGTGAGCGAGCGAGTAAGGAAAATCAGAGTATCACCTTTCAGCTGGAGTGAGCGAGGAAGACCGGGGAATCGCCTCTTCAGCCGGAGTGCGCGAGGAAGACCGAGAATGGTCTCTTCAGTCGGAGTGAGCGATGAAGACTTGGAGGAATTGGCTCTTCAGCCGAAGTGAGCGAGGAAGGCCGGGGAATCGCCTCTTCAACCGGAGTGAGCGAGGAAGACCGGAGAATCGCCTCTTCAGCCGAATCGAGTGAGGGAGACTGGCATCGCCTTTCAGGCGGAGCGATTGAGGAGGGAGATCGAAATCTCCTTCGTTGTTTATTGGATGACTAGAATCCCCTTTCAACCTAGAATAAATTAGTACTTGGGCCTTAAGAATATATATATTGAAAAGAGTACGCAATTAGATTTAGTTTAAGGCTAGCAAGGGTTTCTGAACCCTTACAACTAACCCTTGCTACAATTAATTCCGCAAATCTTAGCAGCGGTTTCGGTACGCTTGCTATCAAACCCTTGACATTGGTCATTTTCCTTGTAGTGAGATGATCCAATGTGAGAGATATTTAACTCCGTACCATCACCGAGATATACCTCATCCAGGCCGTTGTAGTCCGAATAAAAAGCAAGGTTTCCAAGATCATGGGTTACATGATGTGTCGCAGCTGAATGCATGAGCTAAGGTTTAGACGACCAAGCTTGAGATTGTCATGGCACATTGGTAGTGTGATTGGCTTGAGGACGTTGTTGAGGATGCAACTGGTGTTGGCCGTGTGACCAGGCTTGTCACAATATTGACACTGGATGCGAGGTCATCGAGAGGATGGGTCATCAGGAGAGGCTGGCTCCCAAGATGAGCCAACAAAATTGTTGGTACGACCAGCTCTTCGCCAGCCGAGCCACCATGATGACCACAAGAGTTGCCTGTGTCACGACCGTGCTGCAAGGAGAAGATGGTAGAAGGCGAATCAGCACAGGAACAGTAGGCTTTGAGTTCAGCTTCCAAGGACAAGAGACGATCAAGGAGATCATCAAGAGAAGGCGAAGATTCACGTACGCGTATATCAGCAGAAACTCTGTATAATCATGGCCAAGACCTCGAAAGTAGATAGTGAGTAGTTTAGCATCTGTAGGGGGAGCACCATTGAGAGCCATCTCCGTGCCAGTCGAGCAAAGAGCTTGAACACAGGCAGATACATCACAGTTTCCTTTCTTTTCCCCGAGAAGGAGATCACGAAGCATCATAATGCGAGATTGAGATGTGCTGACAAAGAGCTTAAGCAAGATAGCCTAGGCTTCAGCAGAGGTCTTCGCAACGCTAATGTATGGGCAGACGCCTTCGGTGACCGATGCAAACAAGCTGCTAAGAAGAAGCTGATCTTGTCGAAACCAATGAGTATATTGAGGGTTTCGAGTTTTAGCACCATCGACCTGAATCGTTTCAGCTGGCGGAGGGAGAGAGCCATCCAAGTACCCAACGAAATCAAGGTCATGGAGAAGGGAAAGCAGCTGAGCGCGATAGGACGAAAAATTTGCGGCAGTGAGTTTTAGTGGAAGAGATGCAACATGATTCATCGTAACTAGCTGAGGTTCGACGGAATTTGCCATGAGGAAGGAGGCTGATGAACGTAGACAGCTCTTGGGACAAAAAAAATTAGGGTTTTAGGTATTCAGCTCTGATACTATAATAGGCTTTGAATACGTAAGTATTATTGAAAGCACAAGGTTATATTTGTACCCAACCGTTACATTGTACAGCAAGTAAAGGAAGACTAATTACATAAGGACAATGATATACAAAGTATACAAGGACTAAGACACGTCCCTAATACTAACTACTGAGAACTCCAAAACTCCAGGATACTTGACTTCTCATAACACATTCAACCTCGGATTTTTCTTCTAGCCCTTGTGTATTCACGAAAGCAGCTCTTCCAAAAGCTTGCATTGCCAAGTTTAGTTCATCATCCCATGTAGCTCCTGGGATATGTTGTGTCTGTGTGAACCTACTAAAAAGAGCATAAAAAATTTGTTGTGAAAACAAACAAGAGGTGAACAAATGATGCATTCTTTCCTTGCCAGTACTACACAAACAACATACAGTGGACCCTAAGTAACCCGACTTCAACATTGTATCTTTGGTACATATTTTTCCCTTTATAACCAGCTAAGTTCAGATCATATTTTTAGGTATGGCCTTTCTTTTCCAAACTAGTTTCACCCGAGGCACCTACTGCTATCTAGACCTCTGCACATCCCACACTTTCTTTATGGAATATCTCTACATTGGAAGAACGTAGACTTGTGAGCTTTACCTCTGGTCGCCCAACCAATCAAATTTTACCTAACCCTACTGAGTTATATTTGATCTTCGATTCTTAGTCAAGAAAACTCTTCTTGAGTAACTTCTTAGTCTATGAAACTCTTATCTTGGGCTCTAGGATAGCTATAATATCAATACTATACCTAGTTATTTTCTTTATTAAAGTTGTATATTTACCATATGTTGAAAACCCTCTAGTATTCCATGTTAATATTTTCATCGCTTCCCACGACCTCTGCCACTCCTACCTCCTTTCTTCACATTACGAGGTGGCTCCTAAGGTGAATTCATTCATATCCTGTTCCCTTTGTCTTGTAGAGGTTTCATATTTTCCTTTCCTGCCTTTTTTACTTGTGTAGTGGCCTCCTTCCCTTGGCTAAGCTAGTGAGCTCCCAACTAGTAGTGACTTACCATTCTCAACCCCATGCACATACAGAGAAAGGCTCCCAGTATGAACTGACAACCCTTTTATTATCTGTGCAAAACTCATAGGAGGCTACCAATTTAATTTGTGTATTGAAAACCAATATTAATTATAATTTACAAGAGAATATCTACTTTGATATTGTTGGTGTTGGCATTCAGCCGACCACGTTTCTGATGGCATTGTTTGTAAACCACATAACAGGAGGTAAACAAACAAAAATATCATCGTTATAAGAACGAATCAGATTATCGGTTGGATCGTTAGAACTACCAAACCAGTTATAATAGTGATTTAACTCATTTGCTTGAACGGTTGGGGATGGACAAAATGGTTTTTAACGGTTTTACATAAAACTAGATAAGTCACTAAAGTTTTACACGGTTCACTATTTTAACCAAAAACAAGTAAATATAAATAATTTTATGTAAACTAAGACTATCCAACCTCAAAAACTAATTTTGTTATGCTTACTTTTATTGGTTTTCCAACCTCCTTGATGTCTTTATGTGGCTAGTGGCTACAACGGATTTCTTTTGTAAGATAGTTAGGATGATTTGTTAGAACTTTTATTTTGATGATGGATGATATACCTTTGAAATTGTTTATGGTTAGCGATAGATTTATTTCTAAATTAGTGTATCTAATGCATCCCTGGGGGGTTGGATTTTTACCAAAGTACGCAGCAACACAATCAATCCAAGGATTGGATTGAGTAAAACGAAATTCGAACAGAAAACAAGGATGTCCTTAGGTGTTAGGATAAAACGGAATCAAACGTGCAATCTTTCACGTGGAAGAAGGCTCGAATGATATAAAGGTAGATGCCCGACCACGATCAACGCGTTCTTGGTCGATACAAGAGCTCAACGAGTTTGGAGTCCACCAAAGCTCACACAAGTACGCAAACTTGCAAAAACCTAACGGTTTCAAATCAATTCAATCAACTCGAACTATTACAACGAAAACTAGAGGGCTTTTATAGCCAAAGAAAACCTAATACAATTCTAAACTAACAAGGAAACCAATTAGAACAGGAAAAGGCTAAAGAATTCATGTAAAACAAGGTAACTTGCAGGCCAAGAAACTGACTTAAAACACAAGCAATTCTGCCTAGGAAAACAGGCTTCATAGCATCTTTGAGCCCTTCGAAAATGGTCTTCTAGGTTGATTCGAGCTCAACCAATTCCACTCCTTTGTAGAAGAAAACTCCCTCTTTCAACTCCAACTTAAAACAGCCTGAGATCATGCTCCAAACTCCAGATATAGGTGATAGACCGTTAATTACACATGTTTTTACCCCTGTTCTTACACCGTTTGAGGTGTTGATTCTCGTGTTTTAGGCTGATTTCACGCTAGGTTGTGCTTGTTTGTCATATTTCAGGTCCTAGCACGTGAATGGAGGCTTGGGAGCGAGTTTAGGTTCGATTGGACGGAAATCGGACGCGTGGCGAGGTGCTAAGGAAGTTTCACGGGCATTCCTGGACATCACACGGCCGTGGAACTCACATTTGTGGCCGTGTGGTTTTCGTCGAGAGCAAGCACGGGCAGGATGGAAATCCCGCACGGCCGTGCGACCCTGGCCGTGTGGGAAGCCTGAAGATCGAACTAATTGATACGCCGTGTTTTGCCTCGCACGAGCAACTGGGTGAGCCGCACGGCCGTGCGGCCTGCCCGTGCGAGTCGGGAATCTCTGGTTTTAAGCCAAATTTCGAGCCAAAGGAGAGGGAGAGCTGGGTTTTGGATCCCAAACACCCAAGGGACGAACCCTAGAGAGAGAGAGCGACTTGGGAGCATTCTTGGAGCTACTTTGGAGGATTTCTTCGCCATTGGAGCTCGGGAATCAAGCTTGGAGATGGAGATTGAAGATCTAGATCAGATTTCTGCAGTCTCTCTCTTCTCTATGGAGTAACTTCCCTTCACTTAGGTTTTGAGGAACCCTAGTTCCATGAGTTAGGATCTTTCTTGTATGAAGTTTTGGATGCTATATTGTTTGGTTATAATCGAATGATGCATGTTTATTGAGTCAATTGAAGTCTGATCAACTTTTCCTGATTTCTGCTGCAACTTGAGATAGATAGAATCTGATTAGGTTGTTAGAGCCTCATCATTCGATAGTAGGAGATTGGCTATACGAGAGTTAGCCAGTTTACTGCTTTGTACTGGAATCCAATTCCAGTAGTGGAGTTTTGTGCTTATTGCTTCAGCTTTCTATCCCGGTGAAGACTTGTCGTCTGCCGGGTAGTTAGACTGAGATAGCTTGGTCAGCTTAAGAGATTCCAAGCTACTGTCGGATCTTCCGCAGTTTAATCAACAGTAAAACAACCAAAAGGAATTACAACTTGGACCTAATTGAGGAGCTAGGGGGAATCATACCTAAGTGAGTTCCCAAACTGTAATTAGTAGTTTTACTTAGTTTAGTTAGTAGAGTAGTTTAGTTAATCAATCCTTAATCTAGTTTGCTAGATAATGAACTGAAGCTGAGTAATAGTAACTCTAGAGACCCGTGGATTCGATATTTATTACTTGTGCCACTATACTGCAGTCCCTTTCATTGGTTACACTTGGCCATTGTTAGGTGTTGTGTCATAGCGAGTCAAGTTTTTGGCG